AGGTTAACACCGCTCGGATGGACCTGCGTAGGGAAGCTCAGAGCACCCAACTCCAAGCAGACGCAGGGCCCACAGCCCAACCGTTCGTACTACGTCGGTGGAGACAAGTCAATTGCAGGAGTCGAGCAAGCCCTGCAACAGTTCTGGAAGGTCGACAGCTGTGGCGTCGAGACGGACAATGCGGCTCCAGGACCAACATCGGCAGACGAGGCCGCAGCGGTGAAATTAGTGGAAGACTCCACGCGGCTAGTAGACGGCCGGTATGAAGTATCGATACCATGGAACAGTCGTAAGGCGGAGTTAGTCAACAACGTTGATATGGCGACTAAGCGGCTGGAGTCAACACGTCGACGACTGCAACGTGAACCGCAAGTAGCCCGAGCATACGCCAGAGTGATCCAAGATTACCTCGAGAAAGGATATATCACCGACGTCACTGACGAAGCGTCTACCGACCAATGCTGGTATCTGCCACACTTCGCCATTGTGCGGCCACAGAAGACGACAACTAAGGTCCGGATTGTGTTTGACGCAGCCGCCTCCTACCACGGCATCTCACTTAACGACGCCATCCACGCCGGCCCGAAGTTGCAGCGAGACCTTTGCGATGTTCTCACCCGGTTCCGAAGAAAGCCCATCGCCGTTGCCTGCGACGTAGCAGAGATGTATCTGCAAGTTTCAATACGCCCCGAGGACAGGCCGTACCACCGCTTTTTGTGGCAGGACCCGGCCTCCGATGGTCCGGTCAAGAAGTACCAGTTCAACCGCTTAGTCTTCGGTGTAAACGCGTCGCCATTCTTGGCTCAGTATGTCGCCCGCCAAGTCGCGGACGCAAGCGTCGATACCCACCGATCAGCAGCAGAGGCCATCCTGGACAGTACGTACATGGACGATACGATGGACAGTACTGCCACGGTCGCCGACGGTACCAAGCTCCATGACGACCTAATGGAGCTGTGGGGGAAGGCAAGCATGCGACCGAGAAAGTGGTTATCCAACTCGACTGCGTTGCTGAGTACGATCCCAGAAGAAGAACGCGCAGCGGATGTCGACCTGACGGTGGGAGACCTACCATCGGTAAAAACGCTCGGAGTGACATGGTCTGCCCTCGATGACGAGTTCACGTTCCGCGTGCAGCAACCGGATCTGCCCAAGCGTATCACAAAGCGCTACCTCTTGCAGCGGACAGCAGCCGTATTCGACCCACTCGGCTTCATATCGCCGTTCGTCGTTCGAGGCAAGATGCTGATGCAGGAATGCTGGATGAGTGGCGTCGACTGGGACGAGCAACTTCCCGACGCGATAGTTGATAAAGCCCAGCAATGGTTCCAAGAGTTGAGCGAGCTCAGCAACGTCCGAGTCCCGCGTCAATTTGAAGCATCGACCGGCAAGCTCGAGCTGCATGCATTCTGCGATGCGTCCAGCGAAGCCTATGGAGTTGTTCTGTATGCGAGAAGTGTGCGCGAAGATGGAACAGCGGAGTGCAGATTCCTCGTGTCGAAGAGTCGTGTCGCGCCTACCGCCGCTACCAGCATTCCCCGGCTCGAGCTCATGGCGGCAGTTCTCGGCCATCAGGTTGCCACTCGAATGAGTAAAGTGCTCGACGTGCCACTTAGTACTGTCACCTTCTGGAGCGATAGCACGACGGTCCTCCACTGGATTCGTAGCTATAGTCGGCGGTTCAAACCATTCGTCGCGAATCGCGTCAGCTACATCCAGCAGCGTACCGCACCGCGACAGTGGCGCTACGTCCCTACGGGACAGAACCCAGCTGACCTGGCATCACGAGGAGTTTGCGTCAACGACCTGGTCAACGCAGACCTATGGTGGCAAGGACCGGCGTTTTTGAGCAACGGCTCAACCTGGCCAGCCACGGAGCTAAAGGATACTTCGGGGTTGAGCGACGACCCGGAAGTTCGCAAGGCAGCTGTGCAGGCGTCTGAGAGCGCATTCGTGACGCAGCAGATCACCGTCGTGCAACCAAGCCGCTACTCCAACTGGACGAGACTTGTGAGAGTTCAGGCATGGATCAACCGGTTCGTCAATAACTGCAGACAAGGGGACCGCGTCAGCGGAGAGCTAAACATCCAAGAGTTGGAAGCGGCGGAACTTGCCATCATCTACGGAGCGCAGCAGGATGCATTTGGTGACGACATCAGCGCACTGAAGAAGGGGAAGACTCTGCCAGCAGCATCGCGGTTAGCAAAGATGTGTCCGCGACTGGATGAGGATGGCCTACTACGTTGTGACGGCCGCACCCGCCTAGCTGACTGGCTCCCGTACAGCACGCGCTTCCCGATCATTCTACCCCGGAAACATGAAGTTACGTCGCTAATCGTGAAGCACCACCACGAGCTGCGACAGCATGGTGGCACGAACGAGACGCTCGCGGCATTGACAGAACGGTTCTGGCTGGAGTCTGCCCGAGAGGAGATACGCCAGTGGGAAGCTGAATGCATGGTGTGCCGACGTCGCAAAGCCAGGACGGCAGAGCAAGTTATGGCGCCGTTGCCGAAGGTCCGGCTCGCTACACCGTTGAGAGCCTTCGCTAGAGCCTCGGTAGACTATGGCGGCCCATACTTAACGAAACAAGGGCGAGGACGCAGCCAAGCCAAACGTTACCTCTGCGTTTTCACCTGCCTGCTAACCCGAGCCGTACACCTCGAGATGAGCTACGGCCTCGACGCCAGCTCGTTTCTTAACGCGTTCTCAAGGATGGTCGCGCGCCGTGGAAAACCGCTGGAGATCATTTCAGATAATGGGACGAATTTCGTGGCAGCCGATCGTGAGCTGAGGGAACTGGTGGAGGCTCTGGATAACGACGCAGTTTTCAAGTCCCTGGCCAACCGTGGGGTGGCTTGGAAATTCAACCCGCCGCTAGCCCCGCATTTCGGCGGAGTCCACGAAGTAATGGTTAAGGCGGCGAAACGCGCCCTCAAGGCAGTTCTCGGCAATGCTGACCTGACGGATGAGATGCTGGCAACTGCGCTCACGAACGCCGAAAGCCTTATGAACAGCAGACCGCTCACGTACCAGTCGGCCAGCCCTGACGACAGCTCGCCGCTAACGCCGAACCACTTTCTGACGGGTCAGATGGGCGGTCAGTTCGCCCCAGAAAGCGTAGACACCACAGGTTTCCACCCCAACCAGCGATGGCGGCAAGTTCAAGACGTGGTGAAGCAGTTCTGGCGGCGCTGGCTCAAGGAGTGGGTGCCGACTCTCAACGCGAGACGGAAGTGGCTAAAAGAACGGAGAGACGTGGCAGCAGGAGACATCGTCTTGGTATTGCAACCGGATGCACCACGTGGGCACTGGCCACTCGGACGCGTCATGGAGACCAAGCCGGGCCCAGATGGTCACGTGCGTGTTGTGGAGGTGCAAGTCGGCGGGAAGCGAATCACCCGTCCCATCACCAAGATCTGCCCGCTAGATGCATAGAGAAGATGGCAGCTAGAGCTGTACGTATTCAGTTATGGTGGTAACACAAGTAAGACAGAAGCAGTAGTTCAATAGATGCAGCATACATTGCAGGCATATCACATAAGCACCACAGTGTTATCATTTTTATGTTTACCACATCTTTTTGCCACGCAGTGATTAGACCGATAGAGGTACAACACATGAAATTGTAAGCTAGGTAGTAGTGGAATACGCTGCGAGGTAACTCATCGCGTATTCGAGGGGGAGGATGTTCACGAGGCTCTCCTTGACTATACATTAGATAGTGTGTCTGGACACGGACTATTGGATGCATTGTTCTGTGCATGTATGGTACTTTAGGTAACTGCAGGCTAGACGAGCCATACCGATTCTATGTGCATGCCCTACAGCATTATGGCGCTTTGCTGGTTTGTATTCATCCATTTTCACGGTACTTAGACATTTGAGGTAGACGTGTAGGCGCCTTTCCATAGATCATGTCAATAGACTAGTAGTGGGCACGCCAGACACTTTGTGGCATCGCCGGAGTTTCAGTATTGTCAGTTTGCACCTATGTGGTCGCAGTTCTATCGCGACAAGCTGTGCATTTGCCTCTAGGCAATTCACCTTTCCTTAGCTACGCTGCAGTTGTGCTGCGATATTCATCTATAGCATAATATTGGTCTGTGTGATCGAATCCATGTGTTCAATGCATTCTAGGTTGCTAACATAACAAACCAGACCAGACACGGTATGGACTCATGATTGTATGTAGGTGTGAACAAGTTAGTTTCTGGCAATGTTGTGGTGTTTGGTTTCCGCCCAACATTGTCGATCTGCATGTTTGCACTAGCGTGCAGCTGAACCAACGCAGCCGAACCAACGTGCCTTGCAATGCTTTGCTAGGTTTTTCTTTCACTGTATCTTTTTGGTCACATATAATACCGTACACTTTTGCTTTTACTCTCTCTCTCTTTTTAGCACGTTTGCGTTTTGGTTATATCGAAGAACCCAGTGTGTAGTTACGATCCATCACAGTTTCAATGTTTATGGACTAGCGTGGTGTAGTCCTGCGGAACACTTTCTATTACTCAATTCCGTTCAGGGAAAGCCGAGTTCCGAAATATTTGAGGGTTTGCAGAATGGACTTCATAGTGATGCGAATGCGCTCGAAATTCTCAAGGCGCGTGACGAAAAGTGCCCCCAAAATGAAAATAAGGAGAGTGAAGGCGCACGAGAGCAATCGCTCTCATTTTACCAGATGGTCTGGATTATGTGTGTCAGCATTTGTTCGGTGCACTGAAATTTTAGGTATGAAACAGACGCACCGAACGTACCAAAAATAAAAAAAGTACACCGAAAATTTGTGAAATTACAGTATACTCTTAGTGCCTCTTAGGTGTTATCTAAATTTAGGTGCCTGTTTTCTCTACTGAAATCAACGAAATTAAAGTTACACCAAAATTAACATGTTATACAGCAACCAACTATGGTAGCCAACACCAAGACTATGTCTTAGTGGTCACCTCCTCCACACAGGTGAGGACTGGCCACAGAGGGTGGCATGATTTAGGCCGTACCTTTGGTCCGCTGGTCTTCGGCCCTTCAATCAGCTGTGCGCGGTACTTTGCTAGCTTAGCCTTCAGCAACCCAAGATGATACTCAGTGGCTGTGTGTGTGTGTGCACGTGAGAAAGTGACAAGGAATACACACACGGGCATGAACACACACACACACACACGTGCACGCACATGCAAACACACACACATGACCGCGCACGCACACACACATACACACACAAGCGTACAGTCTTGCAGACACACAACGCTAACACATGAAGGGATCAAACATGCCCCCAGATGGATAACCCCGTAAGACAAACTCCTGTGAGAAGCCAAGTTTTTCTAGAACAAAATCCCGAGCCATACTTCACTTGCCATATATTGTGATCAATGTCTCCAGTAGAGTATTTCATGTGTGATGCAAGTGAACATACACTATATGTCCAGGGTACTTCATACTCGACAAATCTCTCTGGATATAGAAGCGAAGATGGGTGTCTGGACGTGTTCTTGACAGTTTTTTCTCTTTCAGAAGTACCCCATGTACCAGATTAAACAGCAAATTAAAAAAAACAGTCCACAACAAGTAAACGATTATTTTGTTTGTTTTCCATAGGAGCAATCCCTCTTTGCATCTCATTGCGACTAGTCATGTCCCCGAGCCCTGAGCAATACGGAGCAATGATTGATAACAAGAGTACATAACCTCGGGTTGTGTACAATTGTTGATATCAAAATGGAAAATTCAAATGTAAAAGCGACAAGTACTCACCTTTATTTTTCTGAGTGCGAGCAATCTCCTTCTCGATTTCCGAGATCTTTTCTAAAATACCCATGGTTCTGGTTGTTTGTCAGGAACGCAGGAAAGAAAACGCTTACACTTTAGTGAAGGAACGAAGCCGAGGAAGAAGGCATGGACGAGCAAAGAGAATACAACGAGTACTACTGAAATTCCTGCCAGATCAGAGACTGAACGCTCTACCAGAAATAAATGCATGCAGTGAATGATCTGAGTAAAAAATTATGTTTTCGCACTCCATCGAGAAAAAAAGCACATTTTGATGTGTCGAACTCGCACGCGTGCACGATGGATCGATCGAGCCGCCCGGCGCGGTGTGCACGGCTCCACAGCGCTAGCGCTAGCGTAGCGATATCCTTCGACCGATATATCCAGGCCAGGCGCAAGACTAGGTGTGCGCGCGGTGATCGATGTGTCCAGTCTAGTCACAGTCATGTCATGTCATGTGTACGCGAGGTGATTTGGCTTTTTGGCAAAATAATAAAAGTGTAAAATTTGCTTTGCTTCTGGCTGTTTATAATTCTAGTTCTCTGATCCGGATGGCTGTGGGTGCACCGGTACGGTGGTGGCAAATGAGAGCCAGTTTATCGCAGATCAAAATTGACCAGAAAATTTGGTGCATATAATTTTAATTCTCCCTGCCACGTCGGTATAAATAGTGGTGGGTGCTTTGCCATTTTGTGTAAAATGTAAAATAAGCTCCTGAATGGACGAGGAGGGCAGTAAATTGCTTCCGCAGGGCCTTTGGACGAGGTTAGGCTGTCTTTCCATCACTAAAGACAATAAATGAAGAACAGTAGGTCACGGAATACACTCTGTGAGAACGAAGATATGCCTGCGATGCAATGCTACCTATCCAATTCCACCGTATGACACAGCCACTAGTTACAATTTCAAAAACACGGCTTTCGCAGCATACAACGCAGTTGACAGATTAATTTTCATCCACTAGTCTAGAAATCTTTGAACTTGAAGTGATATCTATCAACTTCAGAACATTGATGACCGAATGATCCCAGTTTGTGGTGCCATTTTACAAATGTGTTAAAAAATGACACACCAATTATTTGAATCCTGAGAATACTACAATGTATGAAAGTAGGGCATGATTCAAGACACTTTCCAAAGTGGGATCATTCCCATTTTTTGACGCAACGGGCATGAAGGATAGCATTTCCACTCGCAACAATTCGGCGTAGCTTGCCTAGAAGTGGCTGAAAAAACGTCATTTTACAATTACATTTTTGTACAAGATCAGTCTATTCTTATGATATTATTATTATTCTTTCATTCAACATCATCTGCCTCCACTGTACTGATGAGCTCAGGAGGAGCGGAACAGCTGTCTGGAGGGTCATTGTCAATATCAATCTATATACCGGAATTGTCCTCGCTGTCGTGATGGTGATGCGAGTACTCGAGTGCAGAGTTTGGATCATGCAAGGACTAGGTGGTGTGGTGTAATTAATATTTGGATTCCATAGTGACCGGGTACTCGCTACTCGTAGATCTACTACTACTACTACTAGTGGAGTGCTGTAGACAGGACTACGTAGGTCTACGTACTAATACTAGACTGTAGTGTACGATCGAGCGACATGAACACACAAAAATCGAATCGCCAGAAGAAAGCGATGTCGACGTCGACGATGTTCGACGACGCGACGTCTATCCAGCGATGGCAGCGAATCAGCGATCAGCGACTGACTCATATGAGCCAGCGCACGCGAAAAGGGGGCTAACGTACTTGCACTTGAAGCTGTCAAAAAGCACTTCAAAGTTTGACGTGCGCTTTTTGCGTGGATTTTGAAGTTGAGTCGCTGCGACTCTGTATAATCTCGCGCGTTTTCGCAATTTTGCGCAGGTCGATGACACAAGAATGGGGTTGACGGTCTAAGCTTTCCACCAGTCTTTAGATTTTGCAAATCGGTCCTCGCGTTGCTGAGATTCATTTGTTTGAAGCTGCGCTTGTTTTCTTGAGAGAGCTTCTTTCTCAACAATTTTTTCTCGCTCTTGCCATGAGTCGAAGAATAGTCTTCACTGTCGATGAAGCTCTTGCTGACGTGCTCAGGGAGTGCGAAGATGAGTTTCATGGCGATCCTGAGAGTAGCTCTGTCGCTCCACTTCAAAATTCTGGTCAGGAAATTGCTGAACAGGGCGTAGAATCGCAAGTAACATAGTTGACACTGACGACGCAGACTAACTCCACTACCTCAACTCCAGGGTGAACTCCGATGTTGTAGCAGCGAACTACCTGCATGTAGAGCCTCAAAGCGACTCTGATGAGGCTGGAGTTATCGCTGATGAAGAAAATCTAACAGTGGAAGACGAAGCAATAGTGGAGAACGTCCCTGCTGCTGCTGCTCCTCCTGCACCTGAATTTGCTCAGCTCCAGAATTGTGGATGCAGCAAGAACTGCCTCCGTAAGTTTGACAGAGTAACTCTTGAGCAGTCAACACTAAACATGAGGGAAATGGAGAAAAGTGAGAGCGATACCGTGCTATTGGGAATTTTGGAGTCCTGCCGCCACAATACCAGTCAGAACGCGCATGGGGGAAAGCGTCGCCGCGAGTCCTTCGCCTACAGCTTCCTGGGTGTCGAGGTGTGTGTTGGTGCGTTTCGCTACGCGTACGACATCGGCAAGAAGCATTTGTATGGTCTGCAGCAGCACCTGGAGAAACACGGACTGGTGGGGACTGGTGCCCAGGGACCATGGCAATACAGGCAGGCGACCACATAATGCGCTCCTGTACGCTAACATGAAGAGATGCGTTCAGTTCATCAACAACCATGCAGAAGTCAACGGCATTCCGCATCCAGCCCCGCTGCGTGGACGTGATGATGCTCCTCCAGTGTTCTTGCCTGCTACCCAAACATACAAGAGCGTACATGCCTTGTACAAGGAATCTTGCGCGGCAGCCCAAGTTGAGATCATCGGTGAATCATCGTTCCGCTCCATTTGGGTCGACAATTACCTGGTACGAGTGGGACCGCTTCCTGCCCGACTTCTTCCGGCCAATCCCAGCCGTGAGCCAGATGCACCACTTCACCTTCGCTGCTGCCACACCAGGAATGGTTGAAGTGCATTGGCGGAAACAGTGACTCTGTTGACATCCTGAAGACCACCGTGCAGGCAGTGCAAGATGCAGGCTTACCACCGGTCATTGCACCTGGAGGTATGAGCAGAGCTCGTCGCCAGTACTTGCACAAAGAAATCCGTCCGTTTGTGCAAGAGCAGTTCAGGGATGACCTATGCCCACCAGTCAGTGACTAGACAATTAGAGAGCCGTAACTGTACAGTTCTAATCGTGTGCTCTTCTGTAACTGTATAATATTCACACCATGTTGCCGATGAACACAATCGCGGAAATTGGCTGCTTACGGGCCACGACTGTGCATGTGTGTGATCTTAGTCGAAAATGCTGATTATGCCTCTTCTGTGTTGGTCCAAACTAGGCATTAAAGTGCACTCTGTACATCATGAATATTCTTCAAATGCTTCATCAAGAAAATAGTGTCAGCGTATGTACAATGTCTAGAACAGACAATCATTTTTTTCTTTGCACCGCAAAGTGCGATACTTGCCAACAGACCACCTGGCACTAAAACACCTATAACATTGCAACGAAAAGAGATTTTTTGATGCGGTTTTTTGCAAAAGATTTCTGAAACATGTTGGAGTAACACTAGATAGTCAGCTCGAAATGTCAGATTTTAGAGGTTAACCCCCTTTTCGCATGCTCTGGCTCATATTAATAATCATGCTGCGCTGAGTTAGCTCAGTGCGCGTGCACTGAGTCTGTGCATGTGCTAGTCTGTCTAAGTCTTTGGTCGGAGCACAAGAAAACCCCATCTGTCGAGTGGGGAAAATAACCCGAGCACGCTCGAGTCGTGTCATTCCCTACCTCCATTCTCCAGTATTCACGACTATCGCATGGGGCACGCTGATACGATCGAGTCTTTTACCCTTGATGTGAAAAGGTACATCGAGGCTCCAAAATATTCGTGATCATAGATCGTACACTACAGATCTGCGCAAGATTTTTTTCAGCGTCAGGGTCGGGGCTGTGCGCGCGCTGTGGCGTGCCTGTTTTCTGGGCGAGCAGGAAACGACGTGACCCTTTTCTAGCTCAGTACATGCAGGCAGTAGTGTTGTCAGTTTTATTTTGTTGTCATTCGCCATAGCCCGCTTTACCCTAGCACTAAGCACCAGAAGAGCCAGAAGGAAGGTGTCGATCACTAGTGGACACATTTGTACTAAAATAATAGCAGCTTCTCGGTGATATGCAAAGTCAGTGATCGCTCTAGCGCAGGAAACTGGAGCTGGGGAAATCGTTTAGTGCCCCTGCAGTCTTGTACTTGTAGAAGGTGTTGGCTCCATTATTTTTCTGCGTTCGTCGAGAATTAGCACTGATCAGTGATAAGCTTCCGCGGCCGCGAGCAGCAGGTGTTGGTGTGAGTGCCGGAGAGAGGTTCGCTAGGCAGCGTGCTGTGATCATCTCCAGCGCGGTGGTGGACGGTGAATTCTCGTGGAGTGCACTGGACGCTGCGGGGGCAAGATGGCTTACCACCACGACCCCATGTCGTCCGGTAATTCAGATCTTGTTTGCTTGTGTGGACCTGATCATCTTCCCGTTTGGATTTTGCGAAGTAAAACAATAAAAAATCATGAGATATGGATTTCCCATCATTCACAACGCTAATTTTGTCCTCTACTGAGTGCCAGCACGCTCTGGCAGAGAGTCCATGTCTGTCCTGACCAGGGGATGAGTTGGCGATGTTGTTGCTAGTTCGAAGTAGGTACATGCATGCATCCAGTTCATCAGGCCTGCGTGGCCGCCTGTTCCACCCATCTTAGATTGTAGAACAGCCCATGACTCATGAGAAACTGCGCACAGAATATAATTGATCTTCAGCTGTCACATGGTTCACTGTAGGAAAATGCCGTATTATCTCTAATATAAGCACAGTCTCCAATAATCTGTCCCTGCGGGAATTTGCGGAAAAAATCCTCGAAAACTTGCGCAAGAAATTGCGGCAGAAAACAACAAAAAATGCGGCGAAAAGTGCGGAACTTGCCAGGAACTCGCGGAATTATTGGCAGAAAATTGCGGATTTGGGCCAAATCACGAAATTTGTTGTATCCTTTAGAATCGCTATTTGCCTACTGTGGAAATAACCTACGAGTAGGATCATGGAAAGCACTGTATACTGCGTGAAAAGTGCAGAAAAATGTCAAAAGAAGTGCAGAAAACAACAAAAAACGCGGGAAATTGCGGATTTTTCAGAAAATCGCGGGTTTGGGCCAAAATCGCGAAATTTGTTGCGTCCGTGGAATCGCGATTTCCTGGAGGGACAGAATAATAGCACGTCTCCAATAATAGAACACCTTGGGGCGGCATTCAAAAAATAAAGTGCTCAGTCTCCATTATAAGCACACTGTGTAAATTCATTATCTGTACCGGCAAAAAAAAACCCTGAAATGTGTGTGTCATACATGAATTTGGCATGGCAACATGCCTCTGAAATGAGGTTGAAATAATAATGGAACAGCCTCCAATAAAGGAACGTCTCCATTAATAGCACGGGGCAGAGGTACATTGAAAAAATAAAGGACCGTGCTTATATTAGAGATAATACGGTGATCTGAATGTGATCGGCCGTGAATACAGGCTGTGTGTGTGGTGTGTGTGTGTGTGTATGTGCAGGGGGGGGGGGGGGGGGTACAGGCAGACTATAGAGGTTATGTGAAAGACACCTTGATGATAAAGAGATTTCCAGAATCGCTTATGGGCGTTATGTATATGCCACTGAGGCGCTAGTGCATAGCTAGCACGTGTTGTGCTGCTACCTCGCCGAAGCATCTCAACTGATGGTGTTATCGCATGGTCTCAACAGGCTAGGCTGTGAAAGGCTACACAGCCATTTCTTGATTGTACAGATCATTTCACCGTGACCCAGTCTTCAGACAGTGTTCCCAGTTCAACCCCTATTGGCACATCAAGTGCTAACTTAGGTACATATTACTGAGTCATTACTGAGTCAAGTTGTGGCAGTAAGCAATGCAAATCATAGTATATCTAGTACCGATTTTGTTTGTTTGTTTGTATACTTTATTGCATTTTGAAGGTTTTTTGTAATGATTGCCGGGATACGCGCAAAGCAGCACAATCAATGTTGCTGTTCTCTTTTTGAATTCTCTGCTCTCCCTGCATTCATATCATCAGTGGTTTGTGCATTCAATAAAACACCGTTTAGTAGCAAGGCAGCACACAGCAAACATAATGCGTCTGCCATGTACACCGAAGGATGTACCCAGAGTGCTGACAGTGCTCCACATCTGCCATGTACAGTGCTGGCAACTGAAATCCGACCCCTTAGCGGTGCGTCCTCATCCTAGCGGTCCCTATTTCGTAGTTTTACCATCGCGTGTTGGGCCTTTGCGATGAGAGCGCACCGTTCCGGGGTCGGATTTCAGTTGCCAGCCCTGTACTGGTAGCTACTTGAAACCTTTCGTCCCGGCCAAGTAACTGTGGTGTTTGGCTTTCATGAGCAGTTACAATTCTTTCACTTTTCAAGTACACTGTACAGTGAAACCTGTGTAAGACGACCGCTCAAGGGACCTTCGGAATGTGGTCTCTGTTACCAGGTGGTCTCCTTATCCAGGGTTTTGACTTGGAATAGCATCCCTTGATCCTGGTTTCAGTGGTCTTCTTGGGCAGGTGGTCGCCTTATCCGAGTGGTCGCCTGGACAGGTTTACAAGTAACTGGCTATTTGTCATCTCTCTTTCTCTCCAGTATTCACAAGCCAGACATCAGGAATGTCTTCCAGTTCCACAACCAGCATTGCCGCGCAGCATTTCCTGGATATCAGTGTGTAAGCGATGACGTAATAGGGCTTGAAAGTGCTACGTCACAGCATAGCAACAATTTCAAAAATTCAAAAATTGGATCCACTTGGATCCAGTTTTTGTATGGGTCCAAGCACATTTCAAGCCGTCTTACTCTCAGCAAGGTGATGTAACCAGTGAAACTGACTGATTTGGCTACTGGGGGCGGGGTTACAACTGGTGGCGAAATAAAAGTCACACCTGCATGCGACATGTGTGGGTTGCTATGCACCCACATACTTAGGCAATAGCAAAGTCACACCTTAGTGGATCCAAAAATAGAAATCTGATGTCAACTTACTACTCCCTGGCCGTTTTGACGTCATCACTTTCAAGCCCTATATGGAACAGTATAGGTAGATGATGACGTAATATGGATGATAGTGTAGTGAAGTGATGATGTAATGTAGAACAGCGGAGTGAAATGGTGACGTCACATACATGTAAAACAGTGCAAGTGATGATGTAATGTAGGACGATGTAGTCGAGTGATGCCGTCGTGTGAAAAGGAGGGTGTAAGTGATGATGCATTATGAACCAGTGAAGTCAAGATACTGGCATCGCTTGAACTTTGTATCCGTGTGCGTTATGTTCTCCGCAGTGGGTATGACTTCCGTGCAATGTGGGACATTGACTTTCTACGCGTGGCCGAGGATCTGGGCGGTCTGCTTGACGAGGAGAGCGCGGACCGGATGATGGTGGTTCTCTTAATGCCCATCAAGCCGCAAGGCGTGGACACTGCCGTGGCGCAGTATCAGCGTGCATTGAACAGCGCTAGTAGTCATCAACAGCGGAGCATGCTCTTTGCCACGCTGCACTACTGGAAGACCAAATCTCTCCAGCCCTGCTTTGGTGTCGACATCTTCGAAGCAGTCAACGAGGACTTGCCCGGAGTGGCGGCGCGCTGTAGAGCAGTATTGGGGGTAAGTTGGCAATGGTCTGCTATGCATGATCAACTGGACTGGTCAGTCTGCTATGCATGATGAACTGGACTGGTCAGTCTGCTATGCATGATCAACTGGACTGGTCAGTCTGCTATGCATGATCAACTGGACTGGTCAGTCTGCTATGCATGATCAACTGGACTGGTCAGTCTGCTATGCATGATGAACTGGACTGGTCAGTCTGCTATGCATGATGAAGTGGACTCTTACGGTCGCCTAGCTTTTGTGTAGTCAGCATAGTACTGTCACCACACCAGCGAATTGCCGTCGTCAAAGGTACTACTACTTCGTCAAAATGGGCAAAATGGTGGCTATGAAGTTGCCGGTGGCACATGGTCACCACACCGAAGATGTGCTCTGGTACGCCCCCGGCTGTGTCATGTGTGATCAACTGGCCTGCTATGAATGATCAGCAGCGTTGAACATTCTTTGACGTGAGCGCACCACTTCTCGTCATTGGTGCCCGGCACTTGGAATGTGTGATGCGTATTGACAACAACATATTGATGATGGGTATCATACTGCTGTTTGTGTGTGTGCACGTGTGTGGGTGCGTGCATGCGTGTGTGCCCATTATGTATTTGTGTTTGTGTGACACTACAGTTGGAGGTGACGTCCAGGACAGACTTGCGGTACCTGACCCAGCTAACACCACCACCCACTGCGGGTGTAGCTACTGCACAGGGCTCACAACACTGGGGCAGCAGCAGCAACGCAACCGCTAGCACGGCCGCTACTCTGCGCAACGCCAGCGAAAGCAGCGCAAGTCCGCATCTGCCACCTCCATCGTCACGGCAACCACGACCACGACCCGGGTCTTGCCTGAACATCGCCGACGTCAATACACAACTGCAGGCTGCGATGAACTGTATAGGACTGCTGGACCGCGTCTGTCAGGGTGAGCGCTCCGGCTGGGTGCAGCACCCTTGTCTGTGGGACGGAGGTAACCCGGGGAACCAGCGTTTAACGCACACACTGCAGCAGCTGGTTGACTGCAGCCAGACCCTGCTAAGTCACATGACCTGCAACCAGCAGGCTCAGAGATACCATGATGAAGTGCAGGCGGCCCAGGGCAGTGGTGGTGGTGGCGCGGGCGTTGGTCAGAGACCTGGGCTGGACGGCAGCCAACCACTGCCTCCACCGTACGCGTTTCACGCGCAGCCGGAAAGCGTTCACGGTGGAATAGTTAGCGGCGTGGCTCAGCCGGAGACACGGCGATACGGTATGGGAGAGGCCAGTCGAGCTGCTTCGGCCTACGCGAACACGGCAACTGGCGGAGGTCAGCGAGAGCATGCCGCCGCCACCACCACCACTGCTGGACCTGAGCAACGCTACTCACAACGGGCGCCAGCAGCATCGGCGAGACACGACACTGGTGAGTGACTGTCTGGACCGTTGCCTTTCTTTCTGTGTGTGTGTGTGTGTGTGTGTGTGTGTGTGTGTGTGTGTGTGGCGTGTGTGTACGTGCGTGCGTGCGTGTGTGTGTGTGTGTGTGTCACTCAAAGTGATAATTCACACAGGTGTCTAGATTGTAGCCGGAGTACATAACCCCAAGAGTGTGCAACTGCCTGCACAACCTCTATGCAGTGCTGCGGCGGCAGAACTTCACATCACGTGACATGGTTCGAAAATAGCCGAAAATAAATATGCTCTTCACTTACAGTATGTATCCATCACCAGTGCGCAACTCGCGGATGGGTAGGCCCACGGCGGAATTTTTTTGTTGACGTAATCTCTTCGACGACGCACGCGCTGCGGGTCTTTTGGAAAGTTTTCCCTCGTGCACTTGGCCGGGCTTTACACTACAAGGTCGGTGTCCAGCACGTGCTCTCACGTTGCTCTGCGGCAAAATGCGCGTTTCTCTGAAAAAAGGTGACGTCAACAAAAAATTCCGCCGTGGGCGGGGGTATCTGTAGGAGAGATCCGGAGCTGCACTCTCTTGTTTATCTACTCTTGACGGTACTTTTAGTTACGGTACTAATACACTGGACTACAGTGGTGGCAACCGAAATCAAACCCCTAATTTTCGTCTTGGAGTGCAACACCGATTCTAGCGGTCTCTATTTTGGTAGTGTTACCAGCGCGTGCTGGGTTTTTGCAACGTGAGCGCATCGAGCAGGAAGTCGGATATCAGCTACCACCGCTGTACTAGGGGACGCACCAAATGAAGATGGCATCAACGAAAAAATTACTTTGCTTAGTCTGTCGACAATGCTCTGCCTCAATTTCTAGCTGATTTCTTTGCTTCGAGTGGAGAAAATATACAATAATTATTAATGTGCGCAAGCTGCACTGCAGCCGCTTCATTACATGAGAAACCCTACACACACCATCCTCAATTCAAGTCACAGTGGTCTCTTTTTGAGAAAATAAACCCGAAAAATATTGCTCTGGGAAGCGACAGTAGTGATGACGCGGAGGAAGTACAGCACACACTCACATGTCTCATCCTCTTCTCCACATGCCATGCACAGATATCACGGTACGAGGCCTCACGGAGAGCGTTCAGCACATGGACTTCAGCAGCCACAGCCCGTCGCCGCACCAACGGCCACCACCGGTGAACACGCAGGCACGAGCGGCGTCGGCTGACCCAGGTGATGATTCACTGTCAGACCTTGCGGTGATGGGGGCGGCGGCGTTGGCGGCGCTGCCAGACTTTCATGAGGACTTGCCGGACGCAGCGGTGACATTACCGACGTGTGTCAATGATCCCAGCGTGACCAGTCGTGTTCTAATCGGCCGCAATGCAATCATACCGCAGAGCATCGAGGGTCTGGACCGCGAGAGAAAGGAATGCATTCAGTGAGTGCGTGGCCGTCGTCGCTGCTGCCGTCATGTCTTGTCTTGCTGGGGTTTCTTGCTGGGGTTTCTTGCCGGGGTGTCTTGCTGGGGTTTCTTGCTGGGGTGTCTTGCCATGTCTCAGCAGCCGGTCGTGTGTACCAGTGCACTTTGAAACATCTGAACTGCGGACCGACCCTGTGGGGACTGGTTCCATCTGACCTGCATCGCCTAGGACGCCCAGACAGATCTGGCCTGCATCAGCCTGAGCAGGGAGTTGGTCAGGGGTAGGGGGTTGGGCAGCATTTCTCTGATATCCTAAACTAAAGCTTTCAAGCAGGCTCTCCCCATACCCATAATACGTTATGCTCCACCGGCCTAGTGTGTGCCACAGTGTGTGTGTGCGTGTGTGTGTGTGTGTGTGTGTGTGTGTGTGTGTGTGTGTGCGTGCGTGTGTGTGCGTGCATGTGCATTTGTGTGAATGCATGCATGTGTAACGTGTATAACTGGTTCCGAATCACAGATGGCTCCCAGACAAGATGCTCTGTTGCCCTCCCCTTGGCTAAAACGTCCTCCCTTGTACGCTCTCCACTCTTTGTTGCTTACTCTTCTTGGCTTGCGCTGCCCGCTACTACGCGCAATGCCAGTACCCTGGACGCATTTAAATCTGCTCACTAGATTCACCATCACCTGTCCCTCCCATGCTTCTCCGTCTTGACCATTACTTTTCTTCTTTTATTCACCATGGTTGGTTAACACCCACATCTCCCGTACTGGCTGATTTTCTTCTCATGCCATGAGGTGTTGTCTATAATAATAATAATAATGTGCATGTGTGCACGTGTTTTTTTACACATCCTTTTACACACACACGCGCGCGTACACACAGGGGCCATGGCGTAGACTTCCGACGAATAAGTACGGGAGAGGTCAAGCAGATTGCCGAGGACCTAGAGCATCACCTGACCACCGACCAGCAGCACCAGCTAGCCAACACACTGATGCGCCAGATTAACATCAGCACCGGCGCGGTGGACGTGATCGAGGGCAAACGCGCGGGGGACTGCACTACTGACCAGCATCGTGGATGGTCGTTTCTGGCCGTGCTGCTGGACGTCTGGGGTCCCAATGTGCTGGATACGCATGCCACCGGCAAGGTGGTATTTCAAGCGGTACACGCGATATCAGAAGAGGCAGCCACCTACTGTGCAGCCGTACTCAAGGTAAGCTTTCAACACTAGCTGCTCTTGCATTCAGGTGTCCGTACAGTCAGACCTCGCTTATCCGGTCCTCTTTTACCCGGATCCCTCGCCATCCGGAAGAAAATCGTTGGTTACCGATTTACAGCATATGGCATGCATACATACAGTATGTGTGTTCGATTATCCGGTTCCCTCGCCTATCCGGATATTTTTGTGGAAAACGGATGTGTGCGGTTATGCGAGGTCCGACTGTAGTACATGTACAACACTAGCTGCTCTTGCGTTCAGGTGTCCGTTGTACATGTACAGTGCAGCAGGGGCATAGCAGGCGGTCCGGCCGGTCCGGCGGCTTTGGCTGGACCACTGTTTCGCCCGACCACGGCCAAAAGTGCCCAGAATGCAGGATTTTGCACCGTAATTTCAAAGTTTTCACCGGGGGAGACCCACGGACTCCCTCCTGCCTGACCACCTCCAACGGCGCTGCTACGCGCCTGGGTAGGCATGCAAGATTCTAGACTCGGAGTCACGTAGCGATGCTTTATGCAATCACCATATTTAGTATACACATTACCCGTATGGGGTTACCCACACATCCCAGAGTGCATGACCTGGTGACCCTAACTGGGCATACCTGGTGGTCACTTTGCCTCTCTGGCATGCATTGATATCCTGTCGTTCATCTTTAGTTTCATGGTTCTTTGTCTAAAGAGATATCCTATTGACAATGGACTGAGTGTGAGTGTGCTGGTGACTGTGTAGTCACTACATCTAGCGCACGCAAAGAATCAACAACCAGCCATTGTATGTTGCTCAATGAGTTCACTGAGTTCAATAGCTTTAAAACTCTCTCCGCTGCTCACCAGCGTGTACTAGTCTATGATTGTGTGTGTGTGTGTGTGTGTGTGCACGGCCGCGCGTGCGTGTCTGTGTGTTTGTTCATGTGTCCTTGGTGTGCAGTTCCCGCCGACATCTTCGCCGACATCTCGAACATAGCCCGGTGCATTGAGACTAGATTGTGCTGGCAAACCAGAACCCTGGCGGAGGCATGCGGAGGAGCATCTCTATCTGCAGACTAAGCGTGAATAAGTGCGCTGACAAGCTGACCAAGCCCTTGTGGAATCCCTGACCATGCTGTTTTGGAATCCCTGACCAAGCTATGGTGGAATTCCTGACCAAGCTGTTGTGTTGTGGAATCCCTGACCAAGCTGTTGTGTTGTGGAATCCCTGACCAAGCCATTGTGGAATCCCTGACCAAGCCGTTGTGGAATCCCTGACCAAGCCGTTGTGGAATCCCTGACCAAGCTGTTCTGGATTTTGTACTGCCTGGTCATTTGCGTCACACTGTGATTGCTTCACAAGTCAGCTACCATCACGTCGTCCATGCAGGGCATGGGTGTGGATGTAAGCAGTCGTGCATAGGCCCAGGACATGATACGCATGACTACAAAGTATGCACTGGCCTCCCGGGTGACCATCACTAAGTCTGGGGTGCTCATGCACTGGAGACTGTCTGTGGATAGTAATCATGCAGTTGACCAGACTCCCTGTTCCCAACTTGATTAGACTAGTCTGTATCGTTTACTGATGCAGCTCTTCGTTTTGACAACTTTTCACCTGTTTTTAAAAGCTTTTGTCAATTCCAGTATTTGTAATTTAAACTAATTTTATTTTCCGCCTTGGGGCCCATAGCAAGGATGTTGAGTCTCTTGCATCCTAGCCCTGGGTTTTTTTTTAAATTCGACCCTCGCCGCGCCGCGCGCCTTCGTCAGCATGACTATTCTTGATGCTCGCACGTTCCTGTGTCCGTGTTGGATGAGAGAGAAAAACGATGTGTTCTTGATGAGTAAACTGCTTTCCTGCCGAGCACCTTCCAATTATGATGGCGTCTGAAGTCATCGATATCTCGCTTGATGTATCATTTTATGAATCACTGAGTCTGTACACAGCCGAGTATACGTGCGTGCATGCATGCATGTTAGCAAATCTATAGGAGTACATATTTTACATATTTTACAGATCTTGGCAAAGTTTTCTTTCTATGCCATTACACATTGCGGCCTCTCTCTCTCTATTTAGCTAACCTTGTTTTTTTAGATAAAGAAGATTCCGTACCTTGTGTAAAGCACACACGTGTGTGTGTGCCTGTGTGTGCGTGCGTGTGTGTGCGTGTGTACGCATGTGTGTGTGGGGGGGGGGGGGGCAGGCATGTATGTATATCTCGCTCTCAATACGTTGCACTGAGGATGTGTTGTCCATGCAACACAAGCTGGCTTCTTGCCCTCTGCTTATTTGGAGCACACGGCCCTTTTCACGGTCCGTGGTGTGAGTCTCTGTGCCCTGTATTTCCACTATTATAAGTCGCACCTTTTTTTACACCAAACGTCTCGGGCAAAGAAGGGGATGTGACTTACAATTGAGTGTTACATCCTACTTCTGTGAGTATATTGAAAGTTTGAAACAATATTGCTCAAACCTGAAAATGGGGATGCGACTTATAATCGAGTGCGACTCATCCGGCCTCTGAAATATTTCTCTCCTAAATGTTTACCCCTCTGTATCAGAGCTCACACTGTCCATCTCGGGAAAGACTCAACCTACCCCTTCCCATCTAGTGACCAAACGAGCACCTCTGCTCGTTTGGTCACTGCGAATTAAAATATAATCAACAACAACTTATGATCGGGGAAGTACGGGAAGTACTTGTCAAATACGTGCGTATTATCTTCGGTCGTCTAGGTATCAGTCGCTAGGCATTGCACATGATCGCCTGGGAGTAGCACACGTGGTTTTAATCTGTGCGCACGTCATTCCTCTTCCTCTTCCCCTCCAGGCTCCAGGCATTATTACGTTCTCAAACACATCGCCTCCAGTACTACTGGGAATCAGTCATTTACAAAATATGGCTCTGAGCTGTGGAGCGTACATGTGCAGTGCTCCGCTAGCATAATAATTATACAGGCATCCATGGTGAGGCTAGCAATACTCCATGGTGATACTAGAACATCTCCATGGTGATGCTAGAACATCTCCATGGTATACTAGAAAGTATCCATGGCGATGCTAGAGAGTGCTCAGAGGATAAGGCATGGTGTCCAAATGGATAAAAAAGAAGAAGCAAGGAGCATGGAGTGGCTCAAGCAGTGGCAGTGGTGGTGGCAGCTATGGAACTAACTTACTGTGTGAGCAATAATAATAATAATAGGACTGGATATTTATCTCTTTCTGGTCTCCGGCGGCTCTCTCAACATCTCATGCAGCCACTGTACACGCTGGAAAAGGCCAGCTGCAGCTAAACGGCTATGGTTACACATGCACACATGCATGCAAATGCATGCACATGCAGTGCCAAGAAAGACATCTACAGGCACTAGGCTAGCTGAAGGTCTGTGCTGCTGGATATATGGGCAGCATCAAGAGCGATACATTCTCTCACAGGCGACCGTTTGCGACGGTGACCCGCACACGCATAAGGTTACATGCACGGCTATTGTGCTATTCGACGGCCTCCCACATGCAGAGCAGAGCAAAGCGCTTGCGAAAGGCTGCTGCGATATATGCAGGCTATGCGGACAGTCGTGTCACGGAATGCAACGAATTATCAACTCGAGCTACTGCACTACTCTAGTGTGACTGATATGCATGCTATGGCCGCCTGCATGCTATGGCCGTCTGCATGCTATGGCCGTCTGCATGCTATGGCCGTCTGCATGCTATGGCCGTCTGCATGCTATGGCCGTCTGCATGCTATGGTCGTCTGCATGCTATGGCCGTCTGCATGCTATGGTCGTCTGCATGCTATGGCCGTCTGCATGCTATGGTCGTCTGCATGCTATGGCCGTCTGCATGTTACTTAAAATCAAGGGCTAGTCAAGACCTACTTTCCGGTGTGTACCTCTTGTGTACTGCACTCTGCCGGTCACCGGCATCAAGTAATCTAGCAGTCGAAGGCACAATGCCTCTGTATAGTCTAGGGTTTGTAACAGAGGGTACGGCTCAAGTGTTCACATCAAGACCCAGTATCAGCAGCTATCAATACCCAGGGTCAGCAGCTAGAGGCTACTATCATTTCGGCCGCCGCGGCATCTCGTATGGCAAGTATCGTCACACGGCGTGACGTGGACTTCAAGACATCGTACGCTCTGTGGTAGCATAGACACCGAACACAGGGATAACAGGATAAGAAGATTCAGATTACGATCAGTCCAGGGTGAACGGTAAAGACTCACTGGTCAGCCAGGCTATCGCGCTTCGCGATAACTTCGCGACACGGGGGTCAGGCCAGGCGGAACCAGTCAGGTTGGTCAGGCCATGGCCGGCCAGACCAACTTGTTGACCGCCAACGTATGTGTACTGCTGAGGAGGTCATGTGACTACCCTCCATATCATACACAAACTGTATGAAAGCAGGGGCGTCGGAACTGGTGCGGCAGGTGCGGCCAAAGCCGCACCAATAATTTTCGCATTTTTTAAATTTATTTATTTTATTTTTTTACATTTCAACCTTGTTGGTGGCTTGTCGACTCTTGTACAGGTACTGTTTTACATCGACAATGCGGTGTATCATCAGCATACATATTCTTTTTATTATTCCATATGGCTTTTTAGGCCCAATTTTCAAAAAATTTCCCGGGGGAGGACCCCGGACCCCCTCTCACACTTTTGCCGCACCAATGTTAAACTCCTTCCGATGGCCCTGGAAAGTCATGTGTATACCCTCTGGCATATCATACACAAACTGTATGAAAGTCATGTGTATACCCTCCATATCATACACAAACTGTATGAAAGTCATGTGTATACCCTCTGGCATATCATACACAAACTGTATGAAAGACGAGGGTATGGCCGGACCAATCACAAACTGCTTCCACCGGTCCTGGGGATATACAATCAACCTCGTGAATAACCATCTCGGGTATACAACAACCCGCGAATAACGGCACAATCATCAGACCAAGTGACAATTTGACTGCATTCGTTCAACCTCACAAATAATGACAACTCGCGAATAGCGACTCTTGTCTCATGCGCGATCGAGCGTCGTTATTCGCAAGGTCCACTATACAAGCAGTGGCAAGACGACTAGCTTGAGGACGCATGACATAATGCATGACATAATGCATGACATAATGCATGGCATAATGCATGCAGGAGCGTAGGTCGCACATCGATTGCGTGGCGACAATGTATAACAGCACATCTGTGGTGTGATGACCATGTACCACCAGCAACCTCATAGTCGCCATTTTGTATATTTCGACTATCTATGACGACCATTTGCTGGTGTGTTGACCAGACTACGCTGCTACTCGCCTGATATGACATAATGTATTGAAGGACTTGTCGCGGGATCACAGAAGGCTATGCAACCAGAGTGGATGCGCAGCTGTAGCGACGGAGGTGACATCCAATGTAATGAATGGATCAATGACATGCTCTAGTGGATACCTCGGTGTTTGCTGTGCTGCCGAATGTGCCCATGCTGCACACCCACTGTTCCGGTTGACCGGTTGAACCAGCGGCGGATCCAGCGATCTCCACAGAAGGGGGGGGGGGGGGGTTCCAGTTTAGTCAAAACTGAATAGCGATACATATAGGTGCACATGCATATGGCTTCCAGTACTAAATTTAGGGAGTTCCGCGGAACCCCTGGAAACCCCCTAGGTTCAACCTAATACAGTGATGTCATTGATGATGTCATCGGGTTTCACATGAAGTCGCTAGCTGTAGAACGCAGTGTCAGTCAGGCTGTAGACCAGCATGATGCAGGGGTGTCTCGGAAGGTATTCGATATTGGTGCGGCCATGAATGGGTGGACGGTCCAGGGGGTCCTCCCTCGGGAAATTGTTTAGGGAAATTGGGCCCAAATAGCCCATTTTTATAATGCTTCAAAAGTCACAAGATGAAGTCATCGATGCGTCTTTGGCCGCACCTGCTGCACCAGTTCCGACGCCCCTGTGATGTCATGCTGAAGAGGGAGGGTGCCAGTGACTGGCGACTGTTCATTGTGAGTATGTACAGCTAAGCTGTGTTTTGGGCAACATTACCAACGCAGGCCAAGACCAGCACGTCGATGGATAATTTTGTTGCTAAGATCTCTGCTCAATTATAGATTTCATGTATTTGCATGACATCCTGCTGGTTTGTCTCCCCCTTTGCCTTCTTTGCCTTTTATTTGTATTCTTTTATCTGCTGTGGTTGGCTTCCACCCTTGACTCAGTTTTAATGGCCGTCATCATGATGTGCCATGAGATAATGATATACCGTATTATCTCTAATATAAGCACGGTCCTTTATTTTTTCAATGTACCTCCGCCCCGTGCTACTAATGGAGACGTTCCTTTATTGGAGACTGTTCCATTATTATTTCAACCTCATTTCAGAGGCATGTTGCCATGCCAAATTCATGTATGACACACACATTTCAGGGGTTTTTTCGCCGACACAGATAATGAATTTACACAGTGTGCTTATAATGGAGACTGAGCACTTTATTTTTTTAATGCCGCCCAAGGTGTTCTATTATTGGAGACGTGCTATTATTGGAGACTGTGCTTATATTAGAGATAATACGGTAAATACAAATACAAAAATACAAAATCTATGGGGCTTACTGGGATTGTGATGCGCGACTCAGGTTGCAACTGTTGATGGCCAGTAGCTTATCACCTTCGCGTAACTTGCCACTCTGCAACACGACACCGACACACACACACACACACGCACACACACACACACACACACACACACACACACACACACACACACACACACATACACACGTGCACATACACGCATGGACAGTACCGGCATTATAGCAACATGTACACCCAGGAGACGAGTAACTTAGCTGTTTGACTGCATGGAATCTTACGTCAGGGGTTGAAGCGTGACGGATACATAATTATACTCGTCCCCTGTGTTTGTGCACAAAAGAATGCCAAGAGTCCTCTAAACAGGTACTGTATCTGGTAGCATGTGTAGTAGAACGTGATTTTGTGTATGTCGTGTGTACGTGGTGTTGGTGCATGCGCGTGTTGCTGTGGTGTGAAAAGCAGTCTCCGTCTTGAGTTTGTCATGTCTAGTTGTGTTTCCAACTTTCCGTAGTCATCTTGTAATAAACAGTCTTCTAAATGTAGTTACCGTTGTCCAATTGTATACGTGTGGAGATTGCACGGGGCTGGGAGCAGGTGGAGAAAGGCATCTACAACATTGATGGCAGCGGTGGGATTCGAACCCACGCCTCCGGAGAGATTGGTACAACACATACACATACACAGGTACTAGCTTACCTCTGCTGCTGGGTAACCGGGAACAAGAGAGGAGATGTACAGGCCAGGAGCTGCGCCCATTAGCTGTGCAAAACACACAAACATACGTACATGCTGACCAACCGGACCGGTTCCGCCAGGGCTGATATCACCATCTGTATTCGCAGCAGAAACCAGGGCCCCGGGCGTAGCAGCCGGTCCGGCCGTTGTGGCTTTGGCCGGACCGGTTTTTTTGGAAATGGTAACACAATGCCAAAAGTGCCCAGAATGCAGGATTGTGGACCCTAATTTCAAAATTTTCCCGAGGGGGGACCCTCCACCCCCCCCCCCCTCTCCAGCCGGACCCCCTCCAACAGCGGTGCTATGCGCCTGGAAACACGATAGAGGATTGATCATGATTGACTTACTGTTCCATCAATCAGTCCCATTCCGATGCTACCGGAGTCTGTCTTCTTCAGGTTGACCACTACAAACTCGTCCGTACTGTCGGTGTCCACTAGCTCGGAGTGCAGAGCCTGTGTCGACCGTGATATGTTTCTGTTCAGTGTGGATGTCGGGGAGGTGGTGAGACTGGACGGCGGTGAGGACCAACGACCGCGTGATGCGCCTGCAGTCACTACCACCGAGCCTGCTGCTGCTGCTGGTGCATTCCCTGCAGTTGCTGTTGTGGAGTCTACGTCACCCCCACTGCTTGGGTTGGCGGTGGTGCCTGCTGGAGATGTTGCACTGGCTGCTCCTGCTGCTAATCACAACATAACAACGTTCACAGGGGAGAATAGAAGAAGGATAACAATGTTGTTCGTGACCTACACCACATACAGAGGACCAAATGTTTCTTCTGGTACCAAAGGAAGAATCAACGAAGGAAGGAATGCGTACAACATCATAATAGCGCATGCGCTCTGCGGCGGAACCTGCGCAGCCCGCACATCGCCCGCACGGACACAGCGCCACGCAGAACACAATGCCGAAAAGGGGACCGACCTCGTAGAGGTCACGGACAACAACAATATTACAGAGTGTGGACCCAGGTGGAAGGAGTGGACAGCTGGTAACAGCAGCAGCAGCAGCAGCAGCAGCAGCAGCGAAGAGTGATGGCAGCATGTAAAGAGATGGAAGACACGCACACATGCACAAACGTGCACACATGCGCACCCCACCCCACCCCCCCCCCCACACCTCCAGTCATGCACACACAGAGAGTACATTCACAGAGTACATTGACTGTCGTACCACGTGATTGCTGGTCCTCTTTACTACCGGTGGATGCTGGCTGCTGACGTCGATGACGTCGTAAGACTTGCGGTGTGCCTACAGTGTGAAAGCAAACACAACCACAGCCATAACAACAATCAGCATCAGCAAGAGATACAATACAACACACCATTGGACCATTGGACGCCCATCGCCGGAGGCGATGATGGCGATGCTACAGCAGAAGCCATAGCAGCTTGTGCTGGGATTGCACCATTCAACAGCTTGCAAGGCTGAGGAATTGACCGCCACTATTCAGCCTGGTCTACACCACACAGCTATGAAGTGGTTTTTTCTGGCCAGTGAATCCCTACTTTTTGGTCTTTTTCATTTTTTTCACACACACATCACACCACATACTCCGGCATGCACTGGCTGTTGGTAACCACCCAGGAGAATGAAAGAAAAGTCAAGAGGAGTCTGAGAAAGAGAAGAAAGACGTGTGTGACCATAATCGTCGGGAATCGAACCCGCAACCTATCGATTGGAAATCGCTGCACATACCACTGCACCATATGGGACACACACACACACACACACACACACACACACACACACACACACACACACACACACACACACACACATGCACGCACGCACACACACACACACCAGTGAGAGAGACACAGACGGGCAGAGATACAAGGGGCTATTGACCTATCGCAGTATCTGAGGGAACAAAGCTACAAGTGTAGGCAACAAGGAAATTTACGCCAGCTGGCCAGTGAACGGACAGATCGGAACGCTGCATGGCCGTAAACACCCACAGATACTCACAAACACCCACAAACACCCGTAGACAACCACATACCATCCTCCTCATCAGCTTCCGCAATAGCAGCTAGACCATAGGAAGCACTATCAACGTCTTCCAGGCAGACGTCATCAAGAACAGTCGTCTTCGCCGTGGACTCCACCGATGTTGACAATGATGATGTTCCACCGCCCGACTGTGGAGACGGGAGCTGAGGGGAAACTATGGCAACGGGACGGCGTGATTCGTCACCGGAGCTGCTTGTGACGTTAGTTGGTGATGAAGAGACTGGCAGGTTTGAGTCGAGGTCCGTCTTTGAAGTAGACAGTGATCTGCCGCTGTCTTTGGACAAGGGATAACCTGGAAACAAGACATTACACGTGGACAAACGTGCCCATAGGCGTACACACATGGTCACACATATGTACATGTGCAATAACACATACACACACACACACACACGCACACATACACAATACAAACAAACAGAGAGATGTGCAGTCACTAAGGGTCAGACACAAGTGGAGCCCCTATCAACGAACTCTTCTTCTCCTACCCCCCCCCCCCCCACCACCACCACCACAGGCTGGAAACGTACAACTGCGACACTACACCACGTGCTGTGAGTTTTCGCCGCCGGCGAATCCCATAGAAATGGTATCAGAAGTTGCACACTCTTGGAAGCTTATATACTCTTGCTCAGACAGCGATGGTCAAAATTAATGCCATAATAATGGTGATAAATATGGTAGATATTTGTATTCCGTGAGAAAAAATCTGGGTGCGGCATATACTGCAGTGCGGCGTATACTCCAGTGCGGCTTATACTCTGGACAATACGGTAACTGAGTTACACCATCACGTCTTCACAACAAACATACCGTATTTCCCCGTAAGTTAGTTCTCCCCAATGACTTAGTACCCCCCCCCCCCCCCCTATAAAAAATACACTTTCCACTGCCGAGGTTATCACCCCGAAAGACAGTTCCCCCCGAAAGATAGTAAGCTCGTACCCGTCCTACATGTACAGACACCGTACAGTACATACATCATATGCACGAACACTAGAGTTGCGCAGGCTTCCCACTGCGTGTCATTTATCCCCGATGAAAAAGTACTCCCCGAAAGATAGTACCACCCCCGAAAGTTAGTACTCATGTGGCTGCTAAGTTCGGAAGTTAGTACGTACTAACTTACGGGGAAATACGGTATTTTATATTTATTACAACTTCTCACGACTCGGTGGAAACACCGGCCACTGTCAAGAGAGTGGGTGATTGCCAACCACGGCGATAAATAAAAGTAAGGGGAGCGAAAACAAAAGAGTATCAAAATCAACAGCAACATGCCGTCATCACTAACCTGCATCAGCCATCTGTCGGCAGAGAGAGGCCATGAAGTCGGTGATGCCCACAACCGGTGGTACGGACTGTAAGCTGAAGATGTAGTTACCGGTCGGGATACGCAATGGAGGATGCGAGGCAAAGCTGACCAGTACATCGTCTGTAGGCATGGTAACCACAACACACACAAGGTAGTCATGGTGACCAAACACACACACAGAGGAGTCATGGGAACCAACACACACAGTGGAGCCATGGGAACCAACCACACACAAAACTGCGCACCACACACACAATAGTCTACGACTCGGATCTCCCGTTTTTCCACTGCCGATAGTGCTTTAAAAGAACCCCATCTCTCACACACACTTACACACGTGCACGCAAACGCACACACAAACACGCACACACAGTACATACCCCCCCCCCCCCACACACACACACACTACGGACACACGCACACACACACAACTCACCCACATCCTGTGCACTAGCCATCTCTGAAGACAGCGGCAGCCAGCCAATAGGACGTCGATGGTTGGCACCGAGTTGATAGTGTTGTAACAGACGATGTAACTGAGCTGGTGTCAGCGACTTGTGCTCGGCACGCAACTGTGACCATGATGTCTGTTCATGCCACAAACACAAACACACACACACACACACACACACACACACACACACACACACACAGACACACACACACACACACACACAGACACAGACACACACACACACACAAACACAGACACAGACACACACACACACACAGACACACAGACACACACACACACACACACACACACACACACACACACACAGACACACAGACACAGACACACACACACACGTGCACACACGGATGGGGACAGCCGCACACATATTAACACCATCGGAACTGCCAGGAAACACACACACACAAACACACATGTGCACACACGGATAGGGAGAGTTGCTCAAAAATTAACACCATCACTTATCAGAACCGCAAAGACACACATACTCATGCTCGCGTGTACGCACACACGCAAGCGCACAAACACACATACACGCACACACGCGCACACACACACACACACACACACACACACACACACTTGTGCACACAGGCAAGGCAATACCTGAAGCAAGGCCTGCTTTGGCGATGCAAGCAGATCAGCTGCGGCTGACAGCTGTTGTAGATGACGAATAGCTTCCTTGGTGACACCTTGCTGTGATGCCCATGTCTCCAGTATGTCTAGATTGGTGCGAATCTGAATACCCTTGTTCCAGCTAGCAGCAGAGGATTGATATTGACACACACGTGCACAGACATACACATATGACAAGACACAGGCACACAACATCAATATAAAACGAAATGTGTGTTGCACTGATCTTAGATTTGCAAAGCACTAGAAGTCTATTGAAAGCACCCATTTCGTCCAAGCAAATAGTATGACAACACGATGTGTACGTTTGACATGACAATGTGTACAGATGACATCACGATGACATCATTATGACATAGTGCACACACCCAGCCTATAAGGAGTCTGAGGTGCCATGTAGCACAAGTGACCCTGTGAGTTCTATTCAGCTCTATTACGAACAGCACGGCGTGGCAGAGAATGCAATGCGAACACGGGAATGCTGGGTGTGTTTGTTTGTTTTTTAAACCCACCGGTAAAACCGGTCACCGGCCCCTTCGTCCATCAGAGTGTTGAACAGCGACGCGTTGGTGAAGAAGAAGATATTGGACAAGAGCTGCAGAGTAATGTTTGGGTGAAGCTGACTCTGACCCAGTAGATCCAGTACTAACTATAGGTTACGGTAGCATAAGATACATACACAAGTACACACATACACACATACACACACACACACACATACACACACACACACACACACACAAACAGTCAAACACACACACACACACACACAGACACACACATCGGATCAACTTCATGACATACTAGAACTAGCCATGCACAGACACAGGACATGTAATGAGACCGTGATGATATTGCAAGTGTCATTGACCATTCTACAAGTACAGTGTGCAGTGCATTGCCATCTTTGCTGTCATTGTCGCCATCATCATTGTCATTGTCGTCATCATTGGTGGCGACAACAGAAGTGATGGCATTGGCACTAGTACCACCGCCTCCGCCACCAACCACCACCAGCAGCAGCAGCAGCAGCAGCAGCAGCCGCACCAGCAGCAGCAGCAGCAGCCGCACCAGCAGCAGCAGCAGCAGCCGCACCAGCAGCAGCAGCAGCCGCACCAGCAGCAGCAGCACCAGCAGCTGCACCAGCACCAGCAGCAGCCGCACCAGCAGCAGCAGCACCAGCAGCTGCACCAGCACCAGCAGCAGCCACACCAACACCAGCAGCAGCAGCACCAGCAGCACCACCACCAACAGCAGCAGCAGCAGCAGCAACACCAACAGCAGCCGCACCAGCAGCACCAGCAGCAGCACCAGCAGCTGCACCAGCACCAGCAGCAGCCGCACCAGTAGCAGCAGCACCAGCAGCTGCACCAGCACCAGCACCAGTTGCACCAGCAGCAGCAGCAGCACCACCACCAACAGCAACAGCAGCAGCAACAGCAGCAACAGCAACAGTAGCAGCAGCAACAGTAGCAGCACCAACAGCAGCAGCAGCAGCACCAACAGCAACACAAACAGCAGCAGCAGCATCAACACTAAAAGAGAGCTAATTGTCATATCTCTTTTACAAAAAGAGTCTTTACCCAATCCCCATATTCATACTTCTTCTCTCTTATCGGCCACATCAAGTCATTATCATGAGAAAAGAAAGATTTCCAAGAGAGATTCTCCAACTCACCTGGAGGATGTCAGTCAACCGCTTGACTTGACTGTCTTTGTGAGCAGCAGACGTGGTGGTGCTCCGGCCATCGTTGTGCTTAGAGTCATTCCCGCCGCCATCACTTCCACAATCTCCACCGCCAGCACCAGCACTAGCACCACTGCCGCGCTTGCCAGTGGGCGAGGTGGAGTCGATATCGGACATGCTGCTATGGTCACTGCCGCTGACGCTGCGTCCCAGACCGCTGTCCGATGAAGTGGAGTGGCTGGCCGTGAAGCCATGCCCATGACTCTTGCTACCACTGATGCTGGTGGCTTTCTGATCGCCGGAATCGCCCGTCCCGCGGTGCATGAACTCAAACGGATTCTCGTCCAGTACTGCCGGCAACACCATGTACAGAAGCTGACGAGCAAAACGCACACACACACACACACACACACACACACACGAATAGGCTAGTGAGAACACATGCACACACGTGAGTGTACAACTATGGCCTGTGCAACGTCTATCGAGTGCTGCGACAACGGCAGAACTTTACATCACATGATATGGTTCAGTAGGTTACACTACCGAACCGTGCAACGTGACGACCGGAGAGTGGCACCCAAAGCAGTGTATCTATCATGCACTGGGTGCAAAAGCCGTGTGCGGGTTTGTCACGCGATGTGAAGTTCTGCCGTCGCAGGCCTCCTAAACCGGGGTAGCATCCTCTTGGGAGATACGTAGTCTTGTTGCTATCAAGCAAGATACACAGCAGTGGCTAAAGGAATCCGACCTGCGGGTCAAAGTAACCTAGCGCCGCATTTCCATGCACGGTCCAAGAAACCATCTGAGGGCCACAGGGACAGCACGAGCGCCGGCGCTGCTTTGGGTGCATGGGTGGGATTTCTTTGGCCGTGAATAGAACTGTTACAGGTACAGGCAAGTCCTGATACAACGAACACCATTGTGCAGGAGAACGAGTTTCTTTATAGCCAAAGTTTGTTATAACAGAAACTCACTTAGAATGTTGGTTCAAACTGGGACATGGACAACGGTTCGCTATATCAAGAAATTCGCTATACCGTATTTTTCGGAGTATAGTGCGCACCTTTGTATAACGCGCACCCCCAATCTTCATTGGGGGTGCGCACTTCAATCTGCATTGAAGTACATGCATTTCATATTCGGAGCATAGTGCGCACCTGCGATTTAGGGCCCAAAATAGCACATCTAAAGTGCGCACTATACTCTGGAAAATACGGTATGCAAGTTCATTATAAGTGGAGTGGACTGTACCCACCTTTGTGACTGGATAGAGGACCTGCTGAAACGCGTAGATCACAATATCCTGCAGTGCCGTCAGGGACTCCGATAGCTCTTGATCGAGTGCAGCTTCGGCAGAGTCCAGTGCTGTGCCACCGCTGAGAGAGGACAGTGAAGCGTTTGTGGACGCGGAAGCCGGGTTGACGCCAAGATTGCGCAGCAGCCTGCGTGCGCAGTTAGCGATCTCCAGAACGTTGGCCATCCACGCGCTCAGCTCTTGCAGGTCATGTGACATGGTGTTGAGCAAGTGCATGGGGTCAGTGTCACTGTACCAAGGTGAACACACACACGCACCAATGCACAAACACACACACACACACACCATTTGACCATTTGACGCCCATCGCCGGAGGCAATGATAGCGATGCTACAGCAGAAGCCATAGCAGCTTATGCTGGGATTGCACCATTCAACAGCTTGCAAGGCTGAAGAATTGACCGCCACTATTCAGCCTGGTCTACGCCACACAGCTATGAAGTGGCGTTTTCTGGCCAGTGAATCCCTACTTTTTGGTCTTTTTCATTTTTTTTCACGAACACACACACACACACGAGTAGCAAATCAACACACACCGCTACCTCAAAACAATCCGGAGTCTACCTCCCCTAATCCGGACGTCCCTAATCCGGGCACGTCCATCTACTGAGCACCTTTATGATCCATCTACTTCAGAAGTCACAAAAATTGGCTTTCACGCTTCGACGAAAAACGGCCCCAAACACTATTGGTTGGCCAATCCCTAGGTACGCGAAGTGCTCGGTCTCAACCTGCCCGTATTACTGGAGTTGTACTGCTACAAATGCAGACAGCCCATGGGTTACACACTCACAGTGTCAGATGTGCCTTGTGGTCGTCCAATATCGCCGCTGTTTGCTGGGAAAGAAGGCAACCAGAAAACATGCCCACGGGCACACAAACACACGCACACACATACACATACACATACACATACACATACACATACACATACACATACACATACACACATTATGGTCCCGAGGGAACAAACACCCGCGTATGGCCCCCATCCGAACAAACCCAAATATGGCCCCCACCGCACACACACACACACACACACACACAAGCACAAGGTCCAGAGTACACATGCCCACACATGCAGAGACGCGCAGGTGCGCACACACACACAAGCATACGGGTGGTGAATGAAAGCCGCCAGCAAGTAGTCCTAAAGTAGTCCAGTGAAGCGATGGAAAATCGGCGGTGAGAACAGCAGTGGCACGTACACGTACATCGAAGTACATATACATCGTATAAAAGTTCAGCAAACTTATCATTTTGTGCACCTACATTCCATGAGCATGTATGTGCACATACAAACATACAGAAACAAGCGTACCCTCCTCCTAACCAAACACACACACACATACATACATGCACACACATGCACACGGACGCATGCATGCACAGACAGACAGACAGACGGGCAGACAGATGGACGGACGGACAGACAGACCACCCCACACACACATGTCGGTGCCGCTACATTGACTACTGAGTTCACTCACCCACACTACGCCCTGCAGCGCTTCACACGCCTTGCCTAGAAACCGCTTCAGGTACTGCTTTCTCGCCGTGGACAGAGAAGACTTGCCGCTCGCCGCTACTGCATCCTGCTCTGCTCCTGCTGTCGCCGTTGTCGCTGGGTTGAACCTCACTAGTGCCAGGATAATGGCTGCGGATGGAGATAAGGGATTAGGTAGTGAGCTGACGTCTGCAGTAGTCAGCGTCAGCTGCACAAAGACATCTTCCTGTTGGATGCCACTGAACACTAGCGGCATAGTGCGAGTCAGACTGTCGGACGGCGAAGAGGGTGTGCTGCCACCCTGCTGATGCTGTGGGTCAGAACCGATGGAGACCGTCGATAGGCTCACAGATTTGCGTGACGATGCTGATGATGATGATGTCGTGATGACTCGTGCCGAACGTTGCGACGATGATGTTGATGGTGTCGCCTCGCTGGTTTGCGAGGACGGGTCATCGGCCAACGATGCAGTATGCATAGAGCCGCTGGTGATGTCGGTCGTGGTGGACAGACTGCCGGCAGCTGAGGTGAAGTCTGGCTGCGGCAACCACTTCCAGCCGTTGCTCAGCGACAGCGGCTGTGACGGGTCGCGGAAGACGAAGACGTGAGACGTGGCCAGGTGCAGTAGATCTCCATCTCGCAACACCAGCATGCCGGACACCGGTGCGCCATTCACTGCCACGTGAGCCTCCTTGGCCGCGTCCAGCGAGAAGATATCGCGCCGGTCCTGCATCTTGGCGGCGTTCAGCGAACTACTACTGTTCCTACTGACCTCCGTACAGCGTATCGTACAGTGGAGAGGCAGCAGATCATACCCAGCCAGCGCTATGCTCACACTGGTGCCGGTCGCTAGCTGACCAATGGACGTTACCTTGTCGATCAAAGGGTACACGAGGAGGTTCTTCTCCGGCTGGGAGCACGAGAGCGTGACGAGGAACGGCGTGCAGAGGTTGTCCGTGTACACACCCGTGAACTGCAGCTTGGACGGAGAGTCGCAGAAGCGCTGTACGTACGTCAGCTGCGGCGTCACCGCCCGGCCACTGTCCTCCGCTGGCTGCTGCTGAGCCTGGGGGGACGAGCTGCGTGACGGAGTGCCCGACGAGAGGCGGTACTGCGGCACGGCGTTGCGATGGTGTACGTACATGCGCCGCTCCGAGCCCATGTCAACCTGCCAGAGGCGCATCAGCACCTGCGGGTACTCGTTGGGCGCCACCAGCCGAGAGTAGCGCGGCGTGAAGCGCTGCGCCACGTTAGCCCAGTCGGCGACGCCATCGTTGTATTCTATGATATCGCCGGACACGCAGTGGTACCATTCCAGCGCTCCTATGGTCTCGTACAGCACAAAGTCGTCACAGCTCTGATCGTAGATGAACAGGCGCTGCAGCACCGACTCAATCACATCTCTGGCCACCGTGTCGTCGGAGGCGAACACCGTCTTGTAATCTGAAGCGCTCTGCTCTTGCAGGCCCGGTCCGGTGTACACCCGTATGGAGTTCACGGCCGACGCGCTACTACGACGACGCTCCTCGTCGCCATGCCAACTGCGCCGGTTGCCGGCACTGCTCTGGCGGCGCATGTTGCGTCGCAGTGTCTGTATGAGACGGCGCGGCGTGGTGCTGCTGGTACTGCTGGTGGTGGCATGGCCGGGCGATTGCATGCTCGTCCCAGTGGTGCCGGTGTAGGCGCCACCAGCATTGTCGCCGGGCATGATGCCAGCATGGTGATCCACACTACTGCTGCTATCCGACACAGAGTCTGCATTGATGCTGGACTGGCTGAGGCTAAGCGGACGACGGCCCACCGGGCTACTGGAGAGCGGCAGCGACGAGGGCATGACGGACAAGGTACTCATCGTCGCGGCAACCTGCTCTCGTTCCACTGACAGCGACTGGCGGTGCTGGGCTAGGGCTGCCGACGTCGTCGTCGTGCCAGGTCTGGGTACGAGTACACCTTCGCCGCTGCTGGTGAACAGGGTGCTGTCCGTGTCAAGGGAATCTTGCGAGGTCGTCTTCGCTGCCGTCACAACGTTAGAGGCAATTGCCGACGATGCCACGGGAGTCGTTGTAGTCGTCGCGGTGGTCAGGAGCGATGCAGTGCTCTCTCTACCGACCGTACTGAGAGCAGTAGCAGATGATAGCTGGTCAAGGTGGTCACCACCACCACCACCACCACCACCAGCAGCACTAGCAGCAGCAGTAACAGCAGCACTACCAGTGGCAGCAGTACATTCTACAGGGTCTGTCTGCCGTAGCAGATAGCGGTGCGGGGCGTCGGCTGCCGAGCGGAACGAGATCTGCAGCGGGTACTCGTCGTCCTCAAGACGATGCTCCCCTGCAATAGAGTTTGGGCAAGCGGATGCACGTACACACACGCATACACAAACACACACACACACATACACACACACACACACACACATCATCATTAGCATCAGCATCACAACCACAACTGGGGTGAACTACTGGTGTTTATTAAAGTGCATACATATACATATACTCCGAATAATGTACAGCACATTCCTGTCAAAACCCAATGCTTGACATATTCCTGCCAGAGGTGGACAAATAGTAATAAAAACGTTAGCGTACCGTGACGATCGACAATGGCGAGGTAGAAGTGGCCAGGATGGCTTCTCAGACGTTCGTCGATGCAGGTGGAGAACTTGGGCAGCAGCAGCGGCACCAGATCCAGTGCCGATGTGGTGTTCTGAACCCGTACAACTTTAGCCGTCTCTTGTCCTGATGGTGATGTGTAGTAGAAGCGAAGAGCGCCTTCGTAATGCACACCCTGCAGCAGCAGCAGCAGCAGCAGCAGCAGCGGCGGCAGCAGCAGCAGCAGCAGAAGCAGAAGAAGCAACAGCACCCACAACAAACAACCATCACTGACCAGAAATGGGTGCGGTAAGGGCAAACACTCCAAAAAATAAGACACAGTTGAAAGTAGTGCTTTCACCAAGATTTCATTACAACAGCTCTATTATAAAATCCAGACATCTCCTCTTTCCATAGGTGAGTGAGTGATGGAAAGACAGAAAATACTGAGGCGAATGACACGTTTGGGCGTCCCTTCCCCTCCCTTCCTCCAACCATGAACTACTGTACCTGTTTCTAGTGTTCGACACGTAGGCACTACACGTAGGCACTACACGTAGGCACTACACGTAGGCACTATACGTAGGCACTACACGTAGGTACTACACGTAGGCACTACACGTAGGCACTATACGTAGGCACTATACGTAGGCACTATACGTAGGCACTACACGTAGGCACTACACGTAGGCACTATACGTAGGCACTATACGTAGGCACTACACGTAGGCACTACACGTAGGCACTACACGTAGGCACTACACGTAGGCACTATACGTAGGCACTATACGTAGGCACTACACGTAGGCACTACACGTAGGCACTATACGTAGGCACTACACGTAGGCACTACACGTAGGCACTACACGTAGGCACTACACGTAGGCACTATACGTAGGCACTATACGTAGGCACTACACGTAGGCACTACACGTAGGCACTACACGTAGGCACTATACGTAGGCACTATACGTAGGCACTACACGTAGGCACTACACGTAGGCACTACACGTAGGCACGCCCGCCCGCCCGCATCTACACATCTCCAAGAACAATGTCTGCTGCACATGCAGTGCACATAGCACATTCAACACGGCTACAGATAACGACCAAAACGCTGACCGACCGATGAATTCCACAGCACTAACACGGCACCGTTGGTGGCAGACTTTCAAAGTCACGTGCACACGGGCACACACAAAATTTAAGGACGGTGCACACACAATGTGCATGTGTGTGTTTCCATAGGTAACTGTCTTGGCCGTTTTATGCCGATGTACTCCGTGTGGTGTAGACCAGGTGTGCATAGGTGGTCGATTCACATGGCTTTGCCAGTTACGTGGATTAGACAGTTATCTGGCGCAAGTCTTGATCTGTCTCATTCGGATCTTGTTCGCTATCGTTGCTATAAGAGAAAATCTGTGGGTGCACATCCAGTGCATTTGCAGGTTTGCGTGCTTCTCTTGCGACGGGCGTATACATGGTACATGGTGGTACATGGTGTGTTTCCAAGTACCTACATACACAGAATAGCGGACAAGCCGTACATACGATCGATCGACTAACCAGCTGACAAGCTAAGTACAGGTCTACCCTCGTTGGTACGTCATCGGTCACAAGACAAACATCTACAGTAGACAACGATCAAAAATCCCCTGACGCCTGAAACGCATACATTCACGTCCGGATATCGGATACAGTCAGACCTCGCTTATCCGGTCCTCCTTTATCCGGTTCCCTCTCCATCCGGAAGAAAAAAAGGTGGTTACAGATTTACAGCAGACGTGTTCCATCCAACATAGCCAGTCACGGTTCAGTTCTCCGGTTCCATCGCCTACCCGGATATTTTTGTGGAGACCGGACGTGTGCGGTTAAGCGACGTGTGACTCTAGTAGGTAGTACTCGTTATAAGACAAAAAAATCTGCCCCCCCCCCCCCCGTGGGTTATCTACTAACCAGGGTTACCTAGATCTGAACGCTGCGGACAATCCTTACATATAACCGATCGACTAACTACCTGACAAGCTATGTACAGACCTTGCGCTGGCGGGGACGCTCTTTCGACCGACTACCACCGCCGGCTCTGGTCGGAGAGGTAGCGCTCGCTCCGGCGGCGTCCGTTTTCGTGGCGACGTCACGTTCCCCGTGCGACCAGGTCTTGAAGCGGCCCTTGCCGCGGCTAAAGATCCTCGACGCCGACAGCATGGTGGAGCGCACAAAGCCGACGCCGCGTTTCCGTCTGTCCACATGCCCGCGTTTCCCAGCCTGGCCGTCGTCGTCGTCGCTCAGACGTGTTGGTGTGGGTGCTGACAGGTCGTCAACGAGTGATGAGCCCGCTGTGTGTGTACTCATTGCTGCTGTAGCCGCCACTGACAATCCGGGTGTTCTTTGCTTTGTGAGCCGGCTTACAGGTGCCGGAAACAATGATGATGATGATGACGATGACGCCGGTGGGAAGGATTTACGGGATGTTGTCGCGTCGCGCGACCAGAGCACCCTGCCGGTGTGCGGATAAGTGTGCACTGATGTTGCCGCAGCATGCGCCGTCCCGCCGGATGGAGACGGGTGTTGTTGCCGTGGTGATGCGGGCGACGTGGCTGCAGCGGCAGTCGTTGCAGAGACGGCAGTTAGAGAACACAATGTATTGGACCTGCTGCTGCTGCTGCTGCTGCTGCTGCTAGTGACAGAGTCTGCGCTGGTTGCGACCACGCTGCTAGCGACGACGGAGGTAGGTTCAGAGACGGCAGCAGTGGCTATGTGAACATGTACGCTGCTGGTGGTATTGCTGTCAGCGCTGGCTTCCCTGCTTGTTGCGGGATCGTCGGCCGCGCCATTACTGCCATCGGGGTTCGTGAACCTAGTGTACACGGCATCGAATGCTCCGTGGCCGTCAGTACGACGTAGTCCCTCGTGTTCACGGCATTTACTCATTATTCAGGTGGCTAGAAGCGGGCGATCACATTCCATCGGCACAGAGTCCATCAGCCAGGCTGTTCTTAGACCATCACACAGTACCAGGACGGCCGAAAGCAGTTTTGGATTGGTCCAGCCAAACCATAGTCTTTCGTACAGTTTGTGTAGGGCACAGTGGGTAAACAAAACAGGACCTCCTCACAGACCTCAGCAGTACAATCATGTAAATATGCATGGGTCTGAGTACTCTGACAGTAGTAGAGAAGGTGCTACTGGAGGTGTGGCAGGCACGCACTTTGACTCAGTCAGTGTGCGGATCCGACGGTCACTGGCGCAGTACAGCAAAGTCGACACCCACTCCGTCACGCTCGCATCCCATCGGGAGAGACGCCTTACCCCGGCAATGCCATGTGTCATGTCCGCATCGCAACTCCGGCCCAACGTCCGTATCCAGAAGCAGCGGAGCTCGCGATGCCACGTCTTTCGCCAGCCGACGCGCGTGGCCGTGCTCTATTCTGCGATCCGCTCAGCGATGGTGTCCTACGAGGGAATGTGGACTCCGGAATTCGCAGCATGCGCTGGGCAAACTAGAGTCTGAGACCCTTGCTCACAACTGGGAAGTCGACAGAACTCGGAAGAAAGACTACGGAAACGCGGAGGAAACAAACAAGTGCTCATGTACCGTGCAACTAGCTTCTTGTTACCTAATGAACATGTCCAGCTAATCGTAATGCGAGAGATGACGGACATTTCAATTATTTCGATCTTGCCAGCGTGAACGAAGTCGATCGGTCCAGTGAACCGAGCACGTCGCGCAGCACGTCTATTGTAGGACACATGATCAAACATCAAGCTGACAAGCAGCTACAAAAATGTAGTCTACCCGTCTACGGCCGTAGATCTACAACATGCACACGATTTGAGAGCTATGAGAGGACTGTTTTATGACTTATGTACGAGAATCTCAAAACAGAGTTGAGTTGAAGCACTTCATTTGTCACCGGCACTGTGTCAGACCTGCCATGCCGGAGATCCGGAAGATGAGGACCTAACAAGTACCACGACTGCCACTTATACAATGACATGATTGAAGTTTCTACCTAGTCTGCAAAAAGTAAAGAAGTACATGACCATTCATTTCTAGGAACTGGCCCCTGGTCGGTGAGCAGGCATCCTTGCCTGTAAATCTGATGAAGTAAAAAAACAACAACAACAACAACCATTGTACATGTACAAGTAGAGTGAAACCTGCCTAAGACGACCGCTCAAGGGACCTTCAAAGTGCGGTCTCCCTTACCAGGTCACTGGTGGTCTCCTTATCCAGGGTCATTTGACTGGAAATAGCATCCCTTGGTCCTGGCTGCAGTGGTCGTCTGGGACAGGTGGTCGCCTTCAGTATCCGAGCGGTCGCTTTGACAGGTTTTACCGTGTAGTTAGTTGTGTTTGTTGCAGGCACATTACCATACAACTTATTACAAGCATTACCATGATTACCGGCCACTGAATGACTAGCCGCCGACTGTCCTACAAAAGAATTATGGGGATGATTTCCTGAAAAGAGAAAAAACCAAAAGGCTCAGCCCGGTCCCATAGCTCAGCCCGGTCCCAGACCCACCATGGTGGGTCTGGCGTTTTTTTCTCTTTTCAGGCAGTTCACTTCCCCGACTGATACTTTGAATTTGAAGTTCTCCCAATCCTTTCCAAATTTAATCACTTTCTTTCACCTCTGGTAGTTTCCAGAAACTGACCGTGGTTGGTCCCCTGGGGGAGGAAAAAGACCGTGCCAAGTGCCATCAGTATGTGTGGCACGTGTTGTGAGCTGCCTTTGGAGTGAAAAACTTGTCAGCGCCTTCTAGGTTCAGCCTGGTCCCATAGCTCAGTGGTTAGAGCATTGCTCATGACAAGCAGGGTCCCAGGTTCGAGTCCTGGTGGGTCTGGCGTTTTTTTCTCTTTTCAGGCAGTTCACTTCCCCGACTGATACTTTGAATTTGAAGTTCTCCCAATCCTTTCCAAATTTAATCACTTTCTTTCACCTCTGGTAGTTTCCAGAAACTGACCGTGGTTGGTCCCCTGGGGGAGGGAAAAAGACCCAAGTGTAATAATAATAATAATAATAATAATACAAGGGTATACAAGTAAGAACTAAGCGTGACAAGTGTGTATCAGCAACAAAAACAAAAAAAGTGAGAACGAATGATAATAATAAACAAGAAGGTGACAAAACACATTTAGGCACAAGTGGCAACAACGTTGCCACACTACACAAAAGAACATTATTTGAACAATTTTAGGGTAATAACACTATCTTTCTGGACACACAAATTCGGCTTATGAATGCGCTGACAAACAGCTTCCAAAACTTGTAACTGCAAAAGATAACCATGACGAGCACGGCACAAAACAGAAAAACAGGAATCAGAATAAGTACGACAACAGTCAGTACTAGAAACCAAATGATTGTATACTGAAGACTTATTACGAGACGGACGCACACAATCTCGACTCACGCGCACACCCTCACACTCACTCTCACCCTCACTCAGCTCACCTTCTCCCTCACTGTCCGAATCAGAATTTGTTGCTGATACACACTTGTCACGCTTAGTTCTTACTTGTATACCCTTGTGTTCTACACACTTTTGTGAGAAATCGCACCTCAATAATAATAATAATAATAATAATAATAATAATGCGTTTGCATGTTCAATAGCTAAGAGACTTGAATAACGACTGATAAAGATATTTCCTTTGTTACTCCCTTTATTGGTTGATGTACTTTGCCTGTCGCTGCAAATTCTTTATTATTGTTTTGATGTTGGAGTTCGGATTGAGTTTCTTTCCTTTCTTCCTTTTCCTTCCCCTATTTGTATTTCTTGTCCCTTTGGTTTTAGCTTTTTATTTTTTCACTTTCTTTTTGCTGTCCCACCCATGGAAATATTTCCCGGTGGGTTTGGCTTATCGCCTTCGAAAGAAGTGAATAAAGGAGACATAATAAGTATATGTTATCGCATGGTTGCGAGGCCCTCATCATGGCATAATTAGTATTGCCCCGAGAGGGCTGGAGTACGGGCAACAATCACATCGTACTTTAGTCTTGGCAGTACGAGTACGGTGTACCATGGTGTACTGACCGTGTAGCCAGAAAAGAGTGCGCTTGCCAGGGAGTACTACTCGGAGTACTCCCTGGCGCTTGCCATGGCAAAGTGCCGCGCTGGCTGGCCAGACTGGTAGGAAGTAATACAGTCTGTATCGGCTATAGAGTGACCGGATATAAGAATATATCGGCTACAGTGATATTGGTCCAAAATATCAAAAGCAAAACGTATTTTATCCAGTACAAATATCACTATAACCAATATTATCGGATGTAATCATATCGGATATTATGATGGCAACAAAGAATCAAAGCATGCATAACACACTACATTATTATCGGCTATAGTGATAACTTTATAATACATGTTGCAATAATATCAAAGGCCCTATTTTTTACTTTCTTCGCGTTGCTTATTTTGATAGTGACACATGTACATGTACATAACAGAATTTTTTTATGGAAATGCGGGCACTGTCAACTATGCAGCATGCTCATTTGTCAAAACGCCATGCTGGAAATATTTCCTTGCCTTTCATGTGTCGATCGAAAAAAATCGATCGTATCGCATTATAGTGATGCATCGGTTATAGTGATAAAATCACGGAAATCAAAAGGGTACGCTAGTATAGCCGATACAGACTGTACTAGTGTAGTAGTCTGTAGTATATACAGAAGCCTTGCTTGGTAGTTTAACATGTTTTTCGATTTTGACAGCATGTTACAAGGCGAGGACGCGCAGTGCTCCTGACTACAACCATAATCCGGTTGGCAGAGTCCCGGTCTTGCGACCATTTGAACCGTATTGGGAAAACCCAGGTTCGGACCCTCGTTACTCTACGGGTTGGTAGGATTTCTATAATTTTCGTTTTTTGTGTTGTAGAAGTCGTCGTGTTGCCGACGTAGTATTGTTCACGTTGCTGCCGCTGCAGGGATCACGTCTGGAAGGATTTGTGATGTTATTTTCTTGTCTTCCTCTGTAATTAAATTATTTGTAATTTTATTTCTTTTTTCTTTTGTTCTTTTGTTCTTTTTCTTTTTTCTTGTCTTTTTCCAACTTCTGCCCATGGCACAAGAAAAAAGATCTACTCGTACTCGTACGCGTCCTCGCCTTGTAACATGCTGTCAAAATCGAAAAACATACGTAGTCTGTAGTAGTAGTAGGGTACCGGGTGCTCAGTGCTCACCTGTAGTACCTAGTAGTAGTACTAGTACCGTAGTAGTACCTAGCGATGGGAAGTTTCAGATCATGACGTGGATCTACGTACACGTGCGCACGTGCACGCGTCACGCGATAATCATGTGCATGAGTCGCACGCGCATCATGTGACAGTCACAAGCACTTTTTTGAAGAAGGAAGTGATGTAATACGTTCCAAATTTGACTTTTTCTGACTCATGTCAGTACGCTCTGCGCAAGCGCATACAATCAAAGTGGATGCATGCACGCGCACGCGGCATCTTGAACAAAAAGAACAGTTTCAACCATTGACCCTCACTTTGTTGTTTGTAGATTGACAGTCAAGATGAAGGTGTTGTGCTTAGTTCTTGCTTTCGCAGCTGCGGCTCATGCCGTCAGCTTGGAAAACGATCAGGAATGGATTGGTTTCAAGACTGCCTACGGAAAATCCTACACAAGCCATCAGGAAGAGCTTATGCGCCGTAATGTGTTCCGTAAGAATCAAAAACTCATCCACGACACGAACGAGAAGAAACTCGGATTCACTGTTGCCATGAATGAGCTAGGAGATCTGACCGAGGAAGAGTTTGCTCGCACTCGCCTGGGACAGCCCAAGAATCTTGTCGGCGGCAAATTCCAGCGTCCTGGTGCAGTTTTCTTGTTCCCTGAGAATGAGGATCCTGCAAATCTCCCTAATGAAGTTGACTGGCGTAAGCACGGTTACGTCACCCCGATCAAGGACCAAGGACATTGCGGATCCTGCTGGTCTTTCTCTGCTACAGGCTCTCTCGAGGGTCAGCATTTCCGCAAGACTGGCAAGTTGGTTTCTCTCAGTGAGCAGAACCTGGTCGACTGCTCCACCCTGGAGGGTGACAACGGCTGCCATGGTGGTCTCATGAATGACGCTTTCACCTACGTTGCCATCAACGGTGGTATTATGTCCGAGGCTGACTATCCCTACAAGCACGTGAAGGGAAACTGCTCCTACAACCGCAACCGTGCTGTGGCTCACGCTGTCTCCTACGTCAACATCCCGCCACAGAATGAGTCTGCTCTCAAAATGGCTGTCGCCACCGTAGGCCCCATTTCCGTGGCCATCGATGCCAGTGCCCCCACGTTCAGATTCTACAAGAGCGGTGTTTACTACAGCCCTACATGCAGCAGTTTCCGTCTTGACCATGGTGTTCTGGCCGCAGGCTATGGAGTGTTGGGCGGCCAGGACTACTGGCTCGTCAAGAACTCGTGGGGCACCATCTTTGGAGATGCCGGTTACATCAGGATGTCCCGCAACCGCAACAACAACTGCGGTATTGCCTCTGACCCATCATACCCCATCGTGTAAAGACTTTGTATTTAACTGTAAAACAGTTCCGAATGTCTGTTTGGAGGCCCTTCTTTGATTTTTTTTCTTTTCACATCATCATCAATTGTAGTATTTGGTACTGCAAGAAAGTGATAAGACAAGGATAAGTTGCTTTGTTGTGTGTGTGTGCGTACGTACATGGTATTGCTGGTACATCTTCTTGGGGTTCTTTAATTCATGAAGTTTGTCTCTGTTGGAATTCAGTCTTGGAACACTGACACCATGTCAAAACACAATCATCTTACATCATCTTACATCATCAGCCCTGGTCTCTCTCTCTTTCATGTGAAACAGCTCCAAACTCCTATTTTAAAGCCGTCATCACACACAGACACAGTTCTTGACGCGTACACGCAGTCACGTTCTTGGAGAAATTTGAACAACTTGTCGTACAAACTCGTGGACCGGTACGCGGTACGACTTTCGTAGTATATTTTCAACACCATATACTATTCTCTTGTACATTTCCATGAATAACGCGGGTTTTATGCAAAATCTCTCGAAACGCTGATGAAAGCCAAATATTGCACGTCTGCGGAATCGTGGTATCCTGTGGGGACAGCCTTGCATCTTGTATACATGTGCACGCATACTACAGCTGCGCTCCGCGAAATTCCAAACCAGAGTGCATACTTGGTGCCTTCAACTTGCACATCGCCCTGGAAGTGGCACGAATGCGGCTGGACGCACACAATCATGTACTATAATTATTATGTAGTGCAGTGATATTATATAACCCAATACTTGTTCAATACTAGTATTAGACTGACGTAAGGAGAAGTCTAAAAACTCCCCTAGCATAATGAGGGTCAGAACCGGGTTCAACACCCATATGGTTCAAATGGTCCGCAGGGACCGGGGCTCTGCCAACCGTGGAAGGTTGTAGTAAGGTCACTGTTTCCAAACACAGTGTCCTCCACCTTGTTTCATGCTGTCAAACCAACAATATCTACTACAGTGATGTACTTTTAAGTTCAGAAATTTTAGGTCCAGGTTAAAGGGGAAGTATACCCTAAAATCAAATTTTCACCAGTTGTAGTCTTCGGGGTGCTGAGTCGAATGGTCTTGGTCCGAGGAAGCTTAGACGCTCCCTTCCTACTTGAATCCCAATCGAACTCGCGCACTTCCACCGAAACTGGGTGACTGCGCCCTACTAGATGGGGATTTGTATGCAAAATGTCACTAAAAGCGCCATTTCGTTCTTATAAAAGCACGGATGACCGCGATTGGCCCATATGTTGCAGTCTTTTGGACGCTGAGTCGACTGGTTTTGGTCCGAAAAGGCTGCGATGCAGCGTTCCTCCTTTATTCCCAATCGAACATGGTTGAAGAAGCGGTCACGTGGTCCTGGTTGCCCAAATCACCTGGTCACCGCGCCAGCACTCGCCCAGCAGGCGACAACTTTCACACCAAGGTTCAACTCGAGTGACAGGACTGCACCCAAAAAAGGTCAAACAGGCTAGTAAGTTGTACCCTGCAGGCACGGTGACCAGGTGACTGGTGTACGCAGGAGCACGTGACCGCTTGTTCAACCATGTTCGATTGGGAATAAAGGAGGAACGCTGCATCGCAGCCTTTTCGGACCAAAACCAGTCGACTCAGCGTCCAAAAGACTACGACATATGGGCCAATCGCGGTCATCCGTGCTTTTATAAGAACGAAATGGCGCTTTTAGTGACATTTTGCATACAACTCCCCATCTAGTAGGGCGCAGTCACCCAGTTTCGGTGGAAGTGCGCGAGTTCGATTGGGATTCAAGTAGGAAGGGAGCGTCTCAGCTTCCTCGGACCAAGACCATTCGACTCAGCACCCCGAAGACTACAACTGGTGAAAATTTGATTTTAGGGTATACTTCCCCTTTAAGCAGTTCCCTATTGGATTATGTGTGTTAGCGTTTGTTCGGTATATTGAAATTTTCGGTACTGTAAGACATGTTATTATAACGAGTCGCAAATTTGACGATTGTCCAAAATCCGTAGGTTAACGAGAAGATAATTATGTTAACGATCTTGCAGTATTCCGGCATATCCACACACAACATATGTGAAGCAGTACGGCCTCAGCAGATCTTATTATAACGAAGAAATGTCATCCGCTAGAACGTTAGATTTACTTCCTCGTTATACAGTCAGTATCGCCTATAAGGTTGGCGGCTATAGTAATATACCGGATATAGTGATCAATTTCACAAATTCATTTTCATTTGCCATAACTAAGTATACACAGTTATTGCGTATACTTCGAGTAGTAATAATCGTCTATAGTAATAATATCGCCTATAATGATCAAATTCATATTTCAAAAGACCTTTATTTAGGGGTGAAACGAAGGTGTCAAAGGTTCGAAGAACCTTCGTTTTCATTTAAAACAAACCTTGGTTTTCAATTCAAAAGAAGGTTAACACACGATTTCTGCACACACATGCACTGATCTTCCTTGTATACAGGAGGTACTGTACTGTAGTTTGTACAGTGCACTAGTTTTGTGTCCACTTGGCTCCCGTAGGTGCCATTGCAAGTGCATAATAGGCCACGGACTGCGATTGAGCATGGCCATTCACGGCCACTGTGTGCAGAAGAAGTCTTGCGCAGTTGGAGCTTCAAACTGCGCAGTGCAAAAGTTATGGGCGTGCCAATTGTGGTGACTGCATAGCAAATATATGCAAAGTCATGTACTTTGTAGGGCACATGCACAGAGTGTGCTTCAAGAGGAACTGTGAACTTGTAAAAGAATCTTTCGACACCTTCGTTCGTTTTGATGAAGAAGGTTCGTTTGGCACATTGAGACCTTCGTTTCACCCCTACAGGCTTTACTTCTTCGTGAAGAACTTGTCCAGTGAGTGTTGTTTGGTGAGTTTTGCTCGTACAAGTTGCCAAAATATGCCGCCATCATGAGGAAATGCTGATTTTGTGTGTCAGGAGCTACAGCCAGCTACATGACATTATGACATTGTACATGTATGTAGTGCGTATGTGCACGGCGCGCTGAGTCGTTTGACACCCCACTCGCATACATTGCATGCAGTATCGGTAATAGTAATAATTATATCGCTTATAGTGATAATATTATAGTGCATCTGCCGCTAGGGTTTATCGGGTGTTAGCGGCCGTCGTGAGTTCCCTTCGGGAACGGATACGATAATTTACTTCTTTTTTTTATAGGGATAAAATGCTCAAAATCAAACACCAACGCTATAGGCGATACAGACTGTACATACATGTCTAACAGCATGAAACAAACGCACCGAAAGTACCAAAAATAAAAGTAGACCGTAAATTTATGAAATTACAGTAGTCGCAGCTGGTCAAGACTCAAGGGCACCAGTGCTGCACTGTGGGTCGGATTTCAGTGAGCGAGAGGCTTTCTGTTGAAGTGTGATTTCATGACATTTCATGTTTTCATGTCATTCTGCTGGTCAATTTGCCGTCTCGAATCATTGTCAGAGTTCCAGTGGACACTACTACACACCTACCGTATTTCTCCGAATATGGGTCGCACCTTTTTACACTCAAACTCAACGGTAAAAAAAGGGGCAGCGACTTGCAATCGAGCAAGACTTATAATCGGGGAAATACCATATTTCGAAATAGAGATCGATCCAAGGGGTACAGCTACAATCCCATTGCTGATCGCATGGTGACGTTTTGCCACGCAGCTTTTACGCATCATCATGATTTGTACGATGCCCTCGCGACAACACATGGGTCTTGCTCACAATAACACATCGGTGTCACTCACAATAACACATTGGTCTGGGTCACGACAACTTATTGCAATGAGTTCAATATCCTCTATTCAATCCACTGCCACAGACACAGCATATCTATGTGTACTGAAGTACAGTACTTAGAAAAGTATTTCTTTTGCTTTATGACAATGTTTCCTAAAGAGAACAGGGTTGCAGAAACGGAGGAGTACGAACAGATACAAGAGAAGCCGATTTGCGTGCAGATGGAATGGCCACCCTCACCCGATCATTGGTCTCGGTGACAGAAAATAGTCAATGCACCCATGCATGGCAGAGAGAGAGAGAGAGAGAGAGAGAGAGAGAGAGAGAGGGGGGGGGGGGGGGGGGTGGGGGGTGTTCGTCTGTATGCCCACATATTGAAGAGAAGAATTACAATTGGATAGCGTTAAAGGTGCAGCTGTTCAGTTTCAAGTGAAAGCAATCAGCAGTCGACTTTGAAAGTTAGTTACATCACAATCCAACAGGACCTCTTTTTTGAATTTGCGCAAATAGCGCACCGCAATGCGCATGTACAGCAGAATCCACTTGAGATGAACACAAGAATATCAGGAGTCGTTTGCAACTTTCTTTTACAGGTCCACACACGGCCGGCGTGTTGCCTTCATTATGTAACTCAATGTTCTAGCCAGGTTAAAATAGTAAAACCTGTGACTAACGACCACCCCTTGAGACCAAAGAAAGCGGTCTTTAGCGGCAGGTGGTCCTTAGTCAGGTTTACACCGCATAACCCTATATGAATGTGAGACCGTCTGTGCCAGGCGAAGTGGTCTGTAGTGCCAGGCTGGTCGCTAGTCATGGTGGTCTTTAGTTGCAGGTTTGACTGCAGTAGGAGGGCAGGCAGGGGAAACAGTTACCCCGTAACCCATTTTCCAAAATTGTCTTGCCATGTAAAATGTAGCATTCGGGGCGAACCCCTACTTCACCCCAGACAACATTAATGTGCCATTATGAAACATCAAGAAGTGACCGGCAGTGGCATTTTTGTTGAATGGCATGGAAAAACACAAAAATCGACAAATGAGTCACTATGGGGGGGGGGGGGCTGCCCCTCCCCTCCCCCCCCCCCCTGGGTAAAACCCTGCGATCTGGACTGCATCTCACCCTGTGCTCGAGTAGCAAAGTCCAAAATCTCTCCTTTACCAGCACACCCGTTTTGCTTGACTCATTCAACTACTCCAAGGCGTGGGACTTGTACAGTTCTGGCTACTACGTGACCTAGAGCAATCCAACCGTATGAAGAAGTAGCACCGCGTTTAAGTGCACAGAACAGTGTTTAATTTCTAGTAAGGCTGCAACGGGTAGGGGTTTGGTCGGTAACGAGTCAGGGTATTTCTATCCCGGTAGGACAGGTACCCTATCGGGTATTTTTTTGACCTACATGTAGTCTGTGCACTTGTGCTACATAGAAAGTGTACACTATTAAATAAAGCATGTACTAGTAGTAGCCATGCTTCAGGACCGGCGGAAGCAGTTTTCTATTGCTCCAACCATATCATAGTCGTTCATACATTGTGTGATTTTTTTCTTTTTTTCTTGGAGCCACGTAACCCGTCATGTGTGAGCCATGAATAAGGGGATTGGTGGCGTGGTCTGGGATGCTCTGCCGACCTTGGGTCTCGGCTTCATCACAACCATATATGGCGGGTACACCTAGTCACATACCCTCCTCAGGAGGAAACACGTGTCGGTGGCCAAATACTATAGTTGGTCGGGCCATGGCCTGACCAACAGGACCAGTTCCGCCGGGCCTGTGCTTTTTACAAACACCTTTGCGAAAACAAAGTACTCCCACTACCCAGTCGGGTTCTCAGGAGCAAACTGCTACCCGACTATCCACTCTAATTACGGGTAGCACGGGCACACGATGATGTACACTCAGATGTATAACTCTGCATCAATGTACAAGTAAGACTGTACCGTCGAATAAGAACGAAACTGCTGTGTTCGCTAAGAATAAGAACGGGCTAGGCTAGAACCCTGACTCCCTCCCCCAGTTCTTCGGCGCCCGACAGTGCTGTGCAGTCCTGCCCAATGAAGTCCAGTCGCGTCACTCAAGTACGCGCCGGGCGTTGCGCGGCCCTACACCTGCGAACACTGGGCTGCGGAATGGTGCACGGCGCAAACTCGAGTGACGCGACTGGATGTCATTGAGCAGGACTCTGTAGATCTACATGTACATGAGTGATTGTACACCTGTAGATCTAGACTAGTACTGTAGAAGCAACACATCTCTTTAATTCTTGCCTTATCCCATTACTCCCTCACATAACCAGTTGCTTTTTTATTACTATTTTTCTCAACCCACAGTGTGTGCTATCGGCCCTCTTAAGAATTGTGTTCATCACTGTTGAGGCTTCTGATGGAAAATAAAAGAATACTACTACTGCTACTGCTACTACTACTACTACAGTAAAACCTGTAGCTAAAGACCACTGTGACTAGCGACCAGCCTGGTACTACAGTAAAACCTGTAACTAAAGACCACCGTGACTAGCGACCAGCCTGGTACTACAGTAAAACCTGTAACTAAAGACCACTGTGACTAGCGACCAGCCTGGTACTACAGTAAAACCTGTAACTAAAGACCACCGTGACTAGCGACCAGCCTGGTACTACAGTAAAACCTGTTACTAAAGACCACTGTGACTAGCGACCGGCCTGGTACTACAGTAAAACCTGTAACTAAAGACCACCGTGACTAGCGACCAGCCTGGTACTACAGTAAAACCTGTAACTAAAGACCACCGTGACTAGCGACCAGCCTGGTACTACAGTAAAACCTGTAACTAAAGACCACCGTGACTAGCGACCAGCCTGGTACTACAGTAAAACCTGTAACTAAAGACCACCGTGACTAACGACCAGCCTGGTACTACAGTAAAACCTGTAGCTAAAGACCACTGTGACTAGCAACCAGCCTGGTACTACAGACCACTTTGCCAGGCACGGACGGTCTCACATTCATACGTGGTTGTGCGGTGCAAACCTCTAACTAAGGACCACCTGCCACTGAAGACCGCGTAATTCTCTGGCCCCAAGGGCCTAGGGGTGATCGTTAGTCACCGGTTTCACTGGACTACAGTGTACTCGACAGTCAACACTCACACCTCACAGTTACTGATAGGCTATTCAGACTACGGCCAACTGTGACCACGCTTCTACGACTCAGACGTTATAAATTATTGATCAGGGATTGTGCATAAAATTTTGAAACACGATTGCATCACCATGGAAATTCAAGTCCACGCGTGATTTGGGCCAACTGTGACCATGGTGACCATATTTCTATGACTCAGACGTATTAAGTTTTGATGTCCACACGTGATTTTTTTAGTCTGAATCGCCTATTACAGTGCTGAGTATTACTGTGGCTGTGCATACCTGATCGGAAACGACTTCTGTACACCATCATGCCAGATACTGACACTGACACCCACTAGTCCAGTAGTGCACACGTACACGGACAGAATGTTTCACCTGCATGGGAAAACAGATCTTCAACACGCTATAGCTGGCCTACTTTCCGTCTCTACTACTCCAGGCTTCCGAAATTTCGAAACGACTCCAGACAAACCTGCGCCAGGTTCGCACTTGAGGAGATCAGGTGTGAGCTCAGGTGTGAGCTCAGGTGTGAAACTTATAATTTAATAATTGTCCTCTTGCAAATAATTCTACTAATACTAGTAATTGTGCGCGTGGACAGGTCAGTAGCGTTGACCACAGCCGGCCTTCAAAATAGTACGGCCGTCCGTCGATCGCTACCACCACCATCATCGTTCAATGAAGCGATAAGCACGGGCTTTTGCGTACACGAGTGTGGTGGAATCGATCATCATTCTAGTGTAGTGTGGCGAAATAGCTACAACCGACCGTGAACGGGCCCGTACGTGCCCCGCGGGGTCTTTTACATTACGAGCTCGGAATGCAGAAAATAATCTACACTGTAGACAAATCACGATGCAATCACCGGCTCAACTAATTACTTCAGGTACTTACGCATGCGGTACTCAGAAGACACATCCCTCCTATCCCCACTTGAGCACAGACTCACCTCCAAACTCGGACAGAGTTGAATCTTGAAAATCCCTAGCTGCTGCCGCCGCTGGTTGTACTCTGCGATGGCTTTGTAGAGCGCTTCTCTGTCTGCCGTCGTCTGCAAACCGTCGTCCTCGCCAACTCCATTTCTTGAACTTTTTGTTCTGCGCTCTTCGGAAGCCAAACAGTTTGTTCCCGTAGATTGAGCAGACTGACGCGCTGATGAGGATACGGTTGCACTGATTGGTGTCGACTCATCAACGCCGTCTCGATGCTGCAGCGCTAGCGTTGTTGCTGCTGTTCGTGCTAGCGTGTGTAAACCAGGAGCATTGGTACTGTGTCGGCGACTGTCACCTCGCGATGGCGAACACGACAATGCAGGACTGCCACCACCACCACTACTACTCGGTGAGTATTGAGCTGACAGCGAGCGTTGACGACGCTGTGCGAACAGCCCCCCACCAGCACTACCCCCCAGCTGATGTCGGCTCCTGACTTTCGCATCCAATGAACTAGTCTTCGCTGCCGCACTGGCCCCACTTATTGTTGCAAGAGAGTTTGACTCTTTTCGTCGCCGGCTGTTTGGTGAGCATTCCGTGGAGCTTTCGCTGTTGCTGGTCGTGGCAGGGTGCGCTGTTGATGCAGTCTCAAATTTCGTCTTTTCTCGCTCGGATGCAGCGCCTGCACGGCCCTGCAGTTGGTCAGCTACGACAACGACCACGTCATCCGCAGAGCTAGAGCCCTTCAAAACTGCTTTCGGGGAATCTACAGGGCCAGTGTTTCCATAGCTACTCGATCGCTGGTGGACTGGGTTTAGGCCACGAAACGACGTGCACTCGCACTCACTCTCACCGTCTAGTGCCGTTGCTTTGGGCGTCACGCGAGGCTTCAACGCCGGACTTGAGGTGGACTGTGAGACACCAGCCGTTGCAGCAGCAAGCGCAGGTACAAGGTTATTAGCACAATGGGCTACCCCAGGACTGGAGCTGCTGTTGGTAGTTCCTCCGTTATGGCTGAGCCTGTTGCCAGTGATTCTGGGCGAGCCTGTTGCCAGGGATGATGCCCTGACGTGCGGTGAATGTACCAGTGGTAGCGACCTTCGTCTACCCTCTCCACTTGGTGGTCTTGTCCTTCTCTTGCTAGCTGTCGGCGTCCTGTAGAGTTGAAATAGACAAAGGGGGGGGGAGAGAGAGAGAGAGAGAGAGAGAGAGAGAGAGAGAGAGAGAGAGAGAGAGAGAGAGAGAGAGAGAGAGAGGGAGAGAGGGAGAGGGAGAGGGAGAGGGAGAGGGAGAGGGAGAGGGAGAGGGAGAGGGAGAGGGAGAGGGAGAGGGAGAGGGAGAGGGAGAGGGAGAGGGAGAGGGAGAGGGAGAGGGAGAGGGAGAGGGAGAGGGAGAGGGAGAGAGGAGAGAGGGGGGGGGGGGAGGGCGGGGAGACAGAGATAGATTGTAGATAGAAAGAAAGAGAGAGAGACAGTGTGGTGGTTGTGTGTGTGTGTGTGTGTGTGTACTGTGTGTGTGTGTGTGTGTGTGTGTGTGTGTGTGTGTGTGTGTGTGTGTGTGTGTGTGTGTGTGTGTGTGTGTGATGGTGTGATGGTGTGATGGTGTGTGTGTGTGTGTGTGCGTGTGTGTGTGTGATGGTGTGTGTGTGTGTGTGTGTGTGTGTGTGTGTGTGTGTGTGTGTGTGTGTGTGCATAGCACAAGTTGCTATGTCTAACATAGCTGTTCGCTATCATCGCTCCCGCGATGGGCATGTCTGAGGTCTGAGGTGTGTGTGTGTGTGTGTGTGTGTGTGTGATGTGATCAGTGTGCGGACGGAAACTGTCAATCACCAGCCTAAAGTATAGACGGACACTGCATTGCAACCTGGTCACGCGTCGCCAATATCGTGATAATCTGCTCATCACCTTATGTATGTACGAGCGATTGAGACTACGAACATGGGATCAATTTTAAATGCATATGCACAATGCAAGCATACTCAGAGATACTTCATAGTATCCTCTTCCTTTGACCCAGACAAGAACACTTTCATTATGTTGAGGTCTTGTTGAAAGAAAACAGAATTTGTCAAATGACAACTGGTGCATTCAGTTGGGCGACGTCTTACTATTGGGCTAATTTGGGGGGGATTGTTGTTGTACAGTCATGCACATTATCATGTACATGTACATAATAATAACACGCACGTCCATGGCCTTGTGAGTTGCAGGCATGATGTACCATTGTACGTGCATGTACTTCATCGTCATTTGTACGACATGGTACAATGTACACAATCCTGTACAGTAATTGTACATGTACATGTATTGTTGAACATCATCCATTGACATCAGGGATTGCTAAAACAGTAAAAGTCCCAAGAGAAAGGACCAAGGAACTACCAGACTGAGAGTGCTCCACTAACACCACCAGTTACTGGACTATCAGCTCACGCGACTATAACTTGGAACCTTCCAAGTAATAGTTGAAAGGCAGGCGGAGCGCGCATCCAAGATGTGCTAGAGCTGATTGGCAGTTAGTTGTAGAACGTCAGTGCCGTTGGTCAGTGTCGTGCAATGTTATCGCATGAGCTGATTGTCCAGTAACTGATGGTGTTAGTGGACAGCATAGCGTACTTGTAGTTCATTGGCGCCTTTTTCTTTCCTTTAGATTGCTTAACTGTCACGATATTATAACAATTCGCCCGGACAGAATAACCCAATCACTGAGTGTAGCATTGCCATTGGCATTGGGAGACCAGGGGATGACTGTGGATGGAGTGTGACCCGGCGGTGGGCCATATCGGCAGGAAGGGTTCCCATCGCCGGCACATCATGTAAAGTCATCTCCCCCAATCACCAAGGCTGGCCTAACACTCTGTACTACAAAGTGGATATCCAGCGATTCCAATGGGACCATTTTATAGAAGCTCTCCACATGAACACGACCGTATGTTCTCAAAACAAGACAAACTCTATGTCGGCGAGTAGGTTAGACGTACAGCGCATGATCTCTCCGTTCTCAAACGAATGTTTTCGTGTCATTGCTGGGGAGGCAACACGGCACGACACGGATGGAAGCAGCGACAATAACAGTTACTAGTACTTACTACTACATGTACATAACCTCGTACTACAAGTCATATACATAACTATACCGCTCCAAACCGTTATGTACTTATCTATAAGCATACCTGGCTAACACTGACGTATGTATACTGCATGTTCAGTATTGCACTAGCCATTCTTAGCTCCCTCCGTAATAGACTGTGTTCGCAGCCATCTTAGCTCATTTTCTTCCTGTTGGTGTTGCGCTTGTGTTTATTTTGCCCGTGCAAGAGGCTTGGGACCACTGGTACTACTAGTGATAGCCTTTAGCGTCTCACAATCAGATGAACTTTAGGAGGCAGCAAACTTTGCGGCATGCAGGCGAATTTCTCACGACCACCTGCACTGAACGGTGTAGGTCTTTGGGATGTGATTGGGTAATGTGTGGCATCTGCAATGTAAGTAACAGGCACACAGCACATGTCTATGGTCTACTGTACAGGCATACCATGCACTAAATGGGAGGGTTTGTGCCATTAGAGGTCTATTCAGTATTCACTCACCGTGGCTGCTCGTCCTGCTCCCGTGCACCATCCAAGACAGCAGCGCTGGCAGCAGCAGCAAGGCTAACGGAGTGAGGACGTAGAACTGACGGGGAACCTCTCAGAGACCCTGTTCCACCACCACCACCTGCAGCAGCACCACTAACACAACCAGTGACATTACCACCAACTTGATCTGCACCGTTCCTGCCACTCAACTGCGGCATGGAGGCACGCTGAGAGCGTCGCACTGGAGCAGCAGCAGCAGCAGTGTCAGCAGCAGTGTCAGCGTCCTTAGCCGGTGAAGCGGCGGCTACAGCCTGTACAGGGGGAGAAGACCTGGAGGATGAGGCTGGTCGTGTCAGCTGTGACTCCATCTCCGTCCCTGTTGCCCCTGCCTCTGAGGCTGTTCCTGTTTGTTTCACTTCATTGGGAACGATCTGTACTGGTGTCTGACTACTGTTGCTGTTGCTGCTGTTGCTGAGTCCATGTCCACTTCCACCTACATGTGTATTACCATCACCACCATCACCACCCTCTGTGTTGCTACTGGTAGTATCTGGACAGCTGAGAGCGAGAGTGATGGCGTTGTTCTGTGGTCCACTGCTAGCACCATTGCCAGGTCGTGAGCTGCCAGGGCTGTCTGGCGAGGACAGCACGCTGCTTTCTTTCATTCTGGCTTAGCAGCGGTGGTGGTGGTGCCTGGTGGACGTGCACGGGCTGTGTGATGTCGATGCTACACTGGCACTCACATTGGCTGTAGTGTTCCCGCGGACCTCTGTGCGTGTGTGTGTGTCTCTCTCTACGTGTGTCGAATGATGCGGTCTTGATCAAAACACTTCGCCGAGCCGGAGGTGAAGACGGACATTCCTTCGCGCCACACCACCCCACAGACTTGCACTTGCTCTACTAAAGTCGTAAATTAGTGTCGAGACTTTGCCCAAAGCTCACGTCCGAGTAATATCTCTCCAACTCTGCACTGCGTTGCGTTACGTAACTTTACACACCGTTGAAACAGTTGCTGTGAAACCTGAAATCACCACTAGCAATGCTTGCGCGATGTCCTACAGACAGTACAGAGGAGGTTGAGCTCAGACGTAATGTTAGCTGTAGCGTCACACTTGGAAACAGTAGCACACATATACACACACGCGTATTACGCTACTAGCACACTAATGCCAGGAGGCAGAATATACTACTCTGGTCAATTCAGTGTTAGGGTCGCACTATCGCCTAGCGCACGGAGCAAGCGAAGGACACTAGGTCGATGTGAGAATCTTCTCCAAGATACAATAATGTAGCTCATTCTTCATTGGCAACTCATCTCTAAAATCATTCCGCGCCCAGTGCTTGAAGCAACATCATTTGCATTCATTCGTCCAGACTGCTTGTTGATCTACATTAGATAAGAACTTCAGGATGCCATTGGGCACACAGGCACAGACACATGCTACAACCTGCACGTCAACCATGTCTTGATTCAGACTTTGAAAACCTGTCACGGACAAACACACACGGCCACACATACACTGTACAGTACTACAGACCTTGCAGCAACAAGCCAGGAGAGACACGACCGAGTTGTAATTGACACGTGACCGCCCCCTTTCGCTCCAGACCCAGGCTTACTCCGCCTTCAAACGGATGCCTTTCTACATGTACACTGGCATGACAACACACATGGCTCGTCATGAGTGCATACAGCACTAACGTTATCCATGTGGGGGTGGATGATGCATCTCCGGATGTTCCTGTTTCCAAACCCCGACTTGTTGGCAACTAGTACTAGTACTAGTACTAGTACTAGTAGCTAACACGGGTAACGGATAGAGACGGATCCAGCAGAGACTATCATGAATGGAGTTGTCATTGTGTGAAGATTGTCAAGTTTCAATTCCGTTTTCTTTAAAAAAAAATGTTTCACTGGTTTGAGGGAAAGACGCAAACGGGAACAATAATAATTTGGTTTTCTTTAGTTACTAGTATTGTGTCAGGTGACTCAGGTCAGTGATATTATGTAAGACTCTTATTGCACACTACATGTAGCGTTATTCTTGAGTCGACTAGTCGTGTGCCACAATTGATACATGCAATGTCACATGGCCGTTCCTGTGCGTAGGTCTTGTAGTGTACTGGCAGCTTTTCCTTCTTCTTTTTTTTTCTCAGCTTCCTTTCTACTTGAAGTACATGTAAGTCCGCTATGCTCCCGAATAAAAGCGCAGCGACCGTTGTTGGACATTTGAATTCCAAATGAGTTGACAGCGACCGTCGTCAGTAAACGAGGTGTTGACAGCACCTGCGCACGATACACGTCATGCTGTACTACTAGCGTAGATCGCAGGAATGAACATGCATCGAGTCACGGTATGCTTCAGAAGTACATGTACATGTAGTTTGATAACAGCGCACAAGCATTGTACATTGGTTTTGCCATCTTATCTTTGTGCCTTGGTGTTCCAGATACAATGTACATGGACATGGCTGTATTCAGTCAAGGCGAATGTGTGAGCTTTTCTTTGCCACTTCACTTGGCATGAGTAGCCATTCCCAACTAAAAACCTAACAAGAACAGAAACGGACTCGGATGGAGAGCCAAGTTGTACAATCATGTAGTTGTAGTTCCTTGGTCCTTTTTTCTATAACTTAGTATAAGAACAGAAACCTTTGCAAAACACGGCAATAAGGATGCACATGTACATTAAGTACGTGACTTGAGAAAAATGCGATAGAGATAGAGAAAGGCAACTCCCTGATCAGGTGCAGATGTCAGATGATACGGATGACAAACTCTACCATCTTCCCCAGATATCCCTGCGCTGACAACGTTTGCCTGCATCATCAGCTTCACCTACATGTCCATGTACATGTACGTGTAGATAGGCCCTTCCCTGCTCTTATTGCGTAGCTAAACGCGCAGCAAGTGACCATGCATGATACAAGATGCCAGTCAAAACCATTACTGTTCTTGACTCATTGGCTTCAGCATACATGTATCTTCAGATGTTCTCGTCGGAAATACTGGCCACACGAAATGCAGTTTTAAAAGTAACTGCCGGGCCTTGTGCGTTCTCCTGGCGGCCTTGTTTCCTGAACGTAATTGATCCTATCTGCGCTCCATGTTACGCCGTAGAACAGCCGCTCACACCTGCGTGTACAGTGAAACCTGTCTAAGACGACCGTTCAAGGGACCTTCAAAACGTGGTCTCCGTTACCAGATGGTCTCCTTATCCAGGGTCATTTCACTGGAAATAGCATCCCTTTGTCCCAGTTGCAGTGGTCTTCCAGGACAGGTGGTCGCCTTATCCGAGTGGTCGCCTTGACAGGTTTTACTGTACAATGTACTTGGTCATATCAATGTATGTACATGATACATGTACATGTATGTCCACATGGTATGACACATGATAATTGATATGTGCATTTTAGTAGATACAATCCACAAAATATGTATTGTAAAGTGCGGTACAGTAATGTCGCGTATACAGACCGGGCTTGTTCCTGTAGCGTAGAACAAGCTGATGTCAGGCTTGTACAATGCACTTGTAGATGTACATGACTGTACATCTACAATTAACATGTACATGTACATGTACATGTAAATTGTGCCTGTAAATGAGACATGCTTTTAGACACTGCGGTATACATGATCGTAGTGCACTTTGGGCATACACACAGTCATGTACATGACTGTGTGTATGCAATGACCAATGCATGGCATGCAATACATGTAGTATTCCGATGCCCGACCGACTGTTCTCGACACACAGCATTTACCACACCATAGATTCAGGTACACTAGTAGAGTAGTAGTAGAAGTTGTGGACCCACAACTTCACACACACAAGTCACAGGACAAAGAAGACAAAGAAGACAAGGGCCTAACAACATGTACATGTACATGTACACAGGCCTGAGGGGAGAAGGAAAATGGGTCTCACACTACACAGGGAAGGTCACACCTCATACGAAGTGCCAGTGAGTATTTTAATAGTACTCACTGGCAAAGAACAGTACAATTGTGTAGACCTCCCTAGTACTCAGTGGCACAAAACACAGCAGAGCTGATCAACAGAACACATCATGGATCACGAGAGTGTCAGTCTCACAGATGGTGGCAGAAACAATAGAATGGTCCGAGGACGATGGGTTCGCATAGTTGTGGCATTATATGTACCGTGAGGTTGGACGATCTGAGTTGCATTCGTTGTTGCTTCATTTATTTTAATTCGCAGGATCAAATGGGTAGCAAGCCCGATGCATGAGAGCGAAAGTAGTTTGTCCGTGCATACAAACATCATAGAAGCAGGGTAGAGAATGCGAGGAGGTGAAGTTCAGAAATTACGAATTTACGTGTGTATTTTCTGCGGTCCATCTATCGATCTACAGTTTTATTAAATCCAGCTATCGCTCCTGCTCATCTGCCACGCAGCAGCACAATTATTTGTGGCGTTAAATGTGATGTGACTTTGTCCCACGTGTGGTCAAAAGTCGTCATACCCATGCACCGCTTATAACCGACCATGTACTGCTGGCTTATCGACGTCATTGAATACAGGTTCTTTGAAATGAAGTTGCTTTAGAGCGACCGGGACTCTCCATGCCAGCCAGTACGTTTACTTGATGGGTATAAAACCAGCATCCAAATTATCTCATTACTGTTGTCTGATGCGTGGAACTCGGAGTTGCAACCCAATTTTCATCCTCTGAAGAATCTTGAGTTGTGTTGCCAGTACACCACCACAGTGTCTGGAGATAATGTGGATTTTGTAGAAAAGAAAAGAAAAGAATCATTCAATAATAGTGGTTATCATACACGTAGTTCTTGTCTCTCTCTCCCGAGGCGAGAGGTCTTCCATGCACCGCGCATTGGACTTGATCTCACGTGCTGTCATCGAAGAAAGTCTCGAAATGACATCCAAGAACCCCTAGGTCCTGGCCAGGGTTGCCCGCTGACAAGTATTTTTCTCGAGTCGACTTGTGAAAATCTTGGACTGAGCGCGCACAGTGCTGACTCGTAGACCACCTCGATGAACAGCCTGATCGACCGTCCCCAAGGACATGTCTGCACTGGCTATCTGGCGTGCATGACAAATAATTGACAATGCAACGAGAGAGCTTGGAAGCTCAGGGCCCTGCGCTATGCTTTGTTGCCTAGCTCATCGTGCATGTTGTTAGAACTGATGGAAATGCTTTTTCCTTTGACTAGCTACATCATTGTACTGCAAAAACGTTTCAATGAGTTACTGAAGTAACGTCTTCTGCATAGCTATGGGAACGACGCTGACTCTTTCGATCAAGGGCGTTCTGGAGTCGACGGGATGTCTGTCCTGACGTTTCCTGGGACCGGCGCTGACTCTGCCGATCACGGGCGTTCTTCTTCTTATTATACTGACGGCAACTAACATCCATTCTGATTGCATTTACTCGTCTCCCTACTTCGTATTTCTTTCCGGAAAATCTCCCCATACAGCAGGGAGTCGTTTACATAATATGACTCCCTGCTATACATCTACATGACTGTATATACGGTATAATTATTATGCTATCGGCCTACATGCGATTCCCGGGCTGGTCGACAGGCGGCCCAGCCAGCCTGCTAGTGGGATCTCGGCCTCGCACACAAATCAACACAAAATGTTACTGCACTGAATGCATTCCCCCGATACACTTCGCATATATACTCATTCTCTTGATGGTACCGTACTCTTGATGGTACGGGACAGGCACGGGATAGCGTCAGGTATGTCGATGGCACAAACAAACAAAAATATTGTGACCAGCTGTCTTTGCTGGTACGGTACGGTACGGGACAGATACGGGATAGCACCAGGCGTGACACAAACAAACAAACAAACAAACACCAAACGAGAGAGCTTGGAAGCTCAGGGCCCTACGCTATGCTTTTTGCTTGCTTATCATTAGGGGTGAAACAATTATACCGAATATTCGAATACTCGTTTGGATTTTTCAAATATAATCGTACTCGGAATAAATCAGAGTACTCGCTCATACATGGTACATGCATTTGCCAGAGAAGTCTGCATTTCAGAGCAGCAGTAAGCAGATGTTGATGTGCAGACCGTGTGGTGAACACTTGTACACGAGTAGAGAGAGCCCAAAGGACCCACCAACCAATACACCCGAGAAAAGGACTGCCAATCGGTTCGATCAGGCTTGTATCATGTGATTTTTAAGGCCGTTGGTGTGCGATTTTTAGGATATCAAGAATACTCGAATACTCGAATATTCGATCGGAGAAAATCAGAGTACTCGAACTCGGGTTCCCAGTGCCAACTTTCACCCTACTTATCATGC